CCGAGCCCCGTAACCTGGCAACTACGCAATGCTAATCAACAGCGGTGACGTCACGCTAGCAACAGCGTCCTATGCTATCCGCCACGTCACACTAGCAACAGCGCAAGGCTATATAAGCGGACCCACAGCAGTGTGATCATCAGTTGAAACATAGCAGCCTGCGAGTGTGCGATAACTAAGAAGTCAGCGAGCGGAAGACTTATTGTGTGCTTTCCAGACATAGCGAGTGCTGTAGTACGGTTATACTCGGAGTGTGTATTGTATTTCAGGGAGACTTGTATAGCTCCCGCGTTAGTAGTACGTGAAGACAAGTGAAGACAGTGTTAAGAGATTTGTTGTAGGGTTTGTAAAGTGTGGAAACCCGTGATATTGTGATAATTAATTGTAGCCGTTATTTGTAGATTGTTAAATAAACCCAATTAACCATCTCTACGGCGTCTTCGGTAACGAAACACGTTACAGTATGATCAGATTGAATCCAGAGCTTTGTAACTATTTCTTTACACTCCATATACACTGGTACAGAAATGAGCAATAACAGAAAAACAGAAAGATTACTCTTGGCAATACAGTGCAGCAATGGCTATATAGCTTCTCTCCAAAGACTGACTGGTTTGCAGTTTAACTATAAAAATTCAACTGCACAGATCATGCAGCTTTCAATGAAAAGTGAGGATTATCAGGCATATAAGCCAGTAAGGATCTGAGAGGATCAGTTGTAATTTATCAAGATACTATCACCTGAATTTGTCTAAATAAACTGAAGTAAACTATGAAATTTTCTACCAGTTGGTTCTTGAAAAGAGATTTAAAGGAGTGGCCTTCATATATTATTAGCTTTGTATGCTATGAATCTTTCATGATGACAGTGTATAATGAAGCCTTATTGGGTGATCAGTGATATCATTGTGGAGTTGGAGTCCGATGTTTCAGACTTTCTGTCATCAACAGGGGTTGATGTGATGAGTGTTGTGCTCTCATGCCATATTCATATATGAAGTGTTGTCTGTTCCAGCCTGGGCCACATGGGAACAATTGGTAGTCAGATGGTCAGTAATGTCCTACCTCAGCGCAGACAATGTGGGGTAGAGATGATCATTAGAGTTCACGTTGCTTGTCATTGGCTCTTCCTTAAGATGTTTTGAATTTTTCTCACGATTTATTGTGTTCATAACCACATACAATGACTGGCCTAGAGGGAAACAGCTGGATCCCATTGGCCTCTTTAACTAAGTTATCCATGTGGATGAACACTTTTTATCTGGACAAAACATGAAACACATTCAACTCTGGATTCTCTCTCCTATGTTCATTTACTTCTTCAGAAATGCTGCTTCCCAATATTCTCAGGTCATGTTGACTAGCACTTCCTGACAAACAGAATGTGCCCGAAAAAATATGTCATTTTCAAGTCTTGAAAAAGGACCACAACATAATGTGTAGCAAACCTGTCTCAGGCAGTTACATGCTGAAACAACTGGTACCTATACCTTTTAAATTTCAAATATTGCCATAGAATTTTGTGCACTGTTACGTGTGACATGTCTGTTGGCCTGTTTGATTTGTGTAGATTGAAAATGAAAGCTGCATGAAGTCAATCCACTTCAGCTTCAATGACCTGGACATCTCCCCAGACTTTTTCCTTTACAGGTGCAGTCAGTTTAATAAAAAAATTTGTAAACTGACATTTGTACTGAAGGTTTCCTTTGAAACATCATACAAATATCACTTGGCACTACAACTGTGGGCCTAGACTTGTGAAACCACAGCTAACACTTAGCTTCTTCTACTTTAGATGGTATTTCTGCAACAATGAAGGCAGGGCTTCAGGTGGAAAGATTTAGAAGCTCAAGTGGTCAAAATTATAAAGCTGAATCACATAACTTATTCTAATGCTTTCATTTTAATTACTGTGGCTTTCAATTCATTAATAATGTTATACTAAAACAGTATATATTTCATGTTTACATTCTGTATTACCTTAAGAAATTGAACTGCTGGGATAAATAAGAATTTTTAAACTTCAGATTAGAATTGCTTTTTATAGTCACTGTTGATCATTATTCTTAAAATACAACTTTCCAGCACATGCAAGAATATGTAATGGAAATACACCTGGTATCAAAATCTCATGCACCCAGATGTCAATTCCTCTGTATCTTCTGTGATTCGGATCATGCCTACATAGGGAGAGTGCCAATGTATCATAATTTTCCTGCTTCACTTGACTGTGACTGCAAAAGAAATTAAAAATCTGGTTTTGAGGACATAAGTCAAACATGATAACAAAAGTAAAAAAAAAAAAAGTAAAGGTATCCTTGTAACAGGCCGTGGAAGCCCATAGGGTTGTGAGATGTTGAGGTTCCCACATTTTCTAGATTGGAAGCCTATAGGGTTGTGAGACATTGAGGTTCCCACATTTTCTAGATAATCGGCTCATAGATGGCAGCAAAGTTGTCAACCTTATGCATCGGCTGCCCTTTACCCCCAAGAATGTTCCAGGTACTCATTTCTGTTAGAGGCTGAGTCGACCCCAGGGCCATAGTGCAGCTGGAAGGATTAGGTCAACTGAAAAAAATCCAATGACTTCATCGGGTCTTGGATCTGTGACCTTCTGGCTGGTAGCATAGTGCCTCAACCAAACATGCTACCACGTGCCCCTGACAACAAATGGTAACTCTGAATAATTCATGAACAGTCAAATAAGATCTAAAAGTGTGTCACGATGGTACATTAGTACAAATATTGTGTTTTTGGACATTATTCATCATCTTGTCTTTAACTAAAAACCATCCTGCTTATTTAAAAAAAAAACATTTTGGGGACTGGATTTTGTCTCTTTCTTCAGGTAAAACCTATTCAGTTGGGCCCAATCAGTAGAGCTAGTCCCTATACAATAAAAGAAAATCATACTTAAACCAAGAGATGATAGTCTGCAATGAACGGTAGGCACAACCCCAACCACTGTCATCAACAGAATCCTGACAGTAGTGATGATAACTGTATATCCCCTTCACTGCTGAAACCTCTCCATCCTTCACTGGAAAGAAACCAGGCAATACAATTAAAACTACACAGATACAATGATTTCAGAAGTATTAAGAGGAGATGTTTTCAGCTCAAAAGTTGAGTGTGCAGCCACCAGCTACTCCACCTGATCCTCTTTATAGAAACCTGCATTCTTCCCCACTCTCCTCCTGTCACCAGGCATCTTGCACCCTGATGTTCCTTGTGAAGTGCCCCTCTAGTTTTAGACTCTGGTGAGGATACATCTTTTTAAATTCCTTTTTGGGCTGGTCCACTTTAATCGAAATTCTCTTCCAATAGGCATGTGACGAGGGTCTAGTGAGGGATCCTTGCCCCCCCCCCCCTTTTCTCTGTTGTGTGCTGTGTGTGGGTGTAGTCTATATGGATGAGTAAATTGTATTTTACAACTTTAGGGAAGGTATATTTTTGGTTATTTATTATGTGTTATACTCGTATATTTTTTTGTTCATGGTTATGTGTTTGTGACCTGTTGGAACCTAGAAAAGTCTGTTCCTGATTTGAGGTGTTTGTTATGTAAGCCAAAGTTACACTGTACCCTACTGGGTTAGGGCAGAGGTTTACATGGGCTTCTTTTTTGTAACTATTCCTACATTATTTGAGATGTTGCTTGAAATTTTGTGCAAAAGATTACTTTTGTGAGCCAGAAGAAGTGATGTGTAGCATGTGCTGGTTGTACAAGTATGCACCTCACACCATTTAACTTTTCCGTATTATTTACGATCGGTTGTTCCTCAGTTTTTTAACTTGCCATTTGTAATTCTGTATCAGTATTATTTTATTATTTTGTTTTTCTTTTCACTGCTTCATGTGTTCTCTTTTGTATAGTTGCCACCTATCATCCACAAGTGTCTGCCTACTTTGACCCTGTATTTCCTGGACATTTCAGTTCCCAGTTCCTTTTTCTTCCTTCAATGCTGTGGTTATTACTGATTTTATTCTTAACCACTAGTTTTCTCTATATTCTTGGAAAAGCATGTACACCCACTTCAATTTGGGATAACAGATTGACCCCTCCTGCACTCTGCTCAACAAAGATGGCTCAAAGAATACTTGCCACTGACAATGTGCTGTTTTAATGTCACCACAGGACTCTACTACAAGGAAACATAAGTAATCATTATGACATGATATTTTGTGTCACTATGCTATCTTACCTTTTCCTAAACTATAAAAATAGGAATATCTATATTCTATCAGATAGTTAAGCTGCAATCAAAGCATTTGGTATACACCAAATTGCTTCAAAATTGGTTTGGGATTATCACCAATCCCTCACACAACTGGCCAGACATAACAGAGTTCAGCTGATACTGGTGCCAGCCCATGAGGGTATTGCTGGGAATGAAACCACAGATCAGCTGGCAAGAACAGGATCTGAACAACCGTTCATAGGACAGGAACCAGTTTTTGGCATCTCAATTGGAGTTGCCAAGAAAGCAATCAGGGACTTAACTAACAGAAATCACAAAAAACACTGGGAATCCACAACTGGGCTCAAACAGGCAAAAGGATTTATATCAGGACCCTCTGCTGAAAGAACAAGGGACCTGTTAAAATTAAACAGAGCTCAACTAAGACGGGTGGCAGGATTACTTACTGGACACTGCCACCTAAAAGGGCACCTTTTCAAACTGGGACTGAAAGGCGACCCAACTTGTGAAAGGTGCCTACAAGAAGATGAATCAGCCACACACAGCTTATGAGATTGTGAGGCTATAGCTTACCTAAGATATCGTCACCTGGTTCAATTCTTCATGGAACCAAGTGACTTTTATGATGCCCCCATAAATAAAGTCCTATATTTCATTCAAAGTGTAGGATTAATTAATTTGCTTAGTGGGGGGTGGAGTCCAACTGGGTCCACTTAGCACGGCGGCCACTGATTGGCCTATTGTAGCCTGCTCCTGATGATTATGATGATGGTGAATTTGGTGGAATGAAGATTGGCAGGGGGAAACCGAAGTACTCAGAGAGAACCTGCCCCAGCACCACTTTGTCCACCACAAATCCCACTTGACCAAACCCAGGATCAAACCCGGGCTGCTGCGGTGGGAAGCCAGTGACCAACCGCTTGAGCTATGGTGCGGCCAAGTGTAGGATTAATAGGGTTAACCCAAAGGGGAAGCACAATAGATCACTGAAGGTCGCAGTGCGAGGGCCAGTTTTTATGGCTCACCCCTCATACTCATACTCATACCTTTTCCTAAAATTTTCTCAATAGATGTAGAATGCTTTTTGCAAACTTGTCACCACATAACACTGATAATCCTACATTAATGATATTACTGTTTCCTCCTCACAAGTTTATACAGGCCCCAAACTGGTACTGTCAATCACAAGAATCATGAGAATTGGAAAGGTGCAATCCGTACTGAAGCATGCTAGGTTTCCACATAATAATCCCTCATTAAAGCATATTTCCATGACCATGATCTTCATGAAAAATGAAATGCCCCTATATCATGTTTTATAAGGACCTCGAGTATCAAATTCAATCAAAATTCATCAAGCAGTTTGCAAACTAAAACATATGGATGGACAGATATATACATATATGCATTGAGATTATGTACATTATACCAAGGATGCCCAAAAGATAGTGAGACTCAGACAACTCCAACAGTAGAGTGTTCACAATATCACCCCATGTGTCTATTAGTTTCTGTACTTGAATCAGACAAACACACAGCTCAATGACAGGGATGTTCTGAACATAAGAACAATTTACAAGCTATAAAAATTAAATTTATGAGGAGAATGGTAGGAAAGAAAATTTAGGCAGTACACCAATATTACTGGTATGAATAACACAAACAGCAACACACATAACCCAACACTGAAAGCACTACAGGAAATGAACACAAGCTAGCAGCACACAGCACGCCCTGCATCCTAGGTGTCAACAAAGCCAACTTCACAGAAACACCTGCCACTGCCAAGCATCAAGGTTCTGCTCCTACAAAAACATTCAGAACAGCAACAAAATAAACCAACAAAACTGTAAGCAGCATCATATATGCAGACAGAATATACATAAATATGTACTTTAAAATAAAACTCTTATGATAATCCATCACATATTACATAAAGACAAACATGTGCATGACAGCATGATAACCCAAGTAACCTAGAACAATCAAAGGCATTTACACAAAAGAAAAGCGGAGCAGCAGATTCCTTCATCACAACAACTTGTACACCTGATGATGGACAATTAGGCTGAAGCATGTAGTGATATACAATTAGGAGAAGACGGGTGGATATTCACCAAAGTTGCACATAGACGGCAAGAAGTGGAACCCAAAGTCAGATTGTTTGCATTTACTTGGCTTAGATTTTGCAATCACTGCAATTGTGCTTGCCTTCTTGGATATAATAATTTTGAACACTATTTTCTAAACTCTCTTTGGCTTAAGTTCTGATATTCTTTCCAGTACTTTCTGAAGCCTTACTGGTGTTCACATTACCACCCAGGTTTTCTGAGGCTGAAAACCTAAGATTTTAAGTTGGATTTGAGGTTTCCATGGTGGTGACTATGTCTTCTGAGATTATAACTTGAACACAAAAGCAACTGGTCCTATCATTAAATAAACCATAAATGAAACTATTCTTTTTAACTTCAACATTGCTGAGGTTCTTGAAATAAAAATCTCTTCATATGAAATTTCTGTGTTCCTTGTTTACTTACTCACATTCTCTCCACAACTTCTGTAACCACCTAAGAGTGGTCAGTATCATAGTGAATTCCTTTGAAAGACTGAATACTAAGTGAACCTGAATGCTGCCTTCTCATTATCATGACATGATCAGTTTTCAGTTTGGACTGCATGTCAGTATTTACTTATTCTCTCCCAAATTTAGTTTGCTACATCTTACCTGTAGGTATCAGACCCTCATGAACGTTTATCAGTGGTGCATTGGCAGGAAAATCGCTTGAAAACAAGTGAGCAGCGGCACGCCTGAAGTATGGTCTGTCTTGTGGAAGCACCAAAAATCTGTGTAGCAATCTGCGCTCCATATCTGAAACCGTCACAGTGTAAAGGAATGCTCAAATCTGGATTCCTACTGTTAGCACCAAGTACAACATCTTTCATTTCAAGTTTAATAGTCTTTATGTTCCAAAAACATCAGAAAAGGAATCTGGTAGAATTTGAGGGATATTTTGGAGGAATGTATTGCCTCCATCTTAGGGTTGATAAATAAGCCAAGCAAGGAAGCAAACAGCAGAATGGGTGAGCTCTACTGAGATACAGAACATGATGGTGTAGGTACAAACTGCATGGCGGCCGAAAGTCCGTCTGGCTACAGTGAGGGCTAAACTCCATTACCTGCAGAGGGTGGCATGTGGAAGCATCACTGGGTGTGTGAGTATAGCCCCTATGACTGCCATAAAGGTTCAGCTTGGTCTCCCTACCCTTCATTTGTTGGCATATAGATTTATGGGCTGGTAGGGGTTCAGATGCAGGTCATGACAGGGTCTTTGCTTGACTAATGGAACAGAGCTGGTCTTTCAGATGAGTCAGGATAAAATGATACCAATGATTGCTTTTGGGACCCTCTTTAAAGTTAGGATACTGTCACGCAAATACCAGATATCAACTTAACCTTAGACCCTTCAATCCAAAGAAGTCGTTCGGTGTACAGATGGGTCTAGAATAACTGGGAGGCCAAGGGCAGGTTTGTGTGGCCTGAGACCAATGAATAAGTTATCTTTTTCACTTCTGTGCATGACAAAGTATTTCAGACAGAAATTTTGTAGTTTGTGTGTGCAAAGGAGAGTATAGAGACCTTTGTAGGTAAGCATATGTATAAGATCGTGTGGGAATGTCAACAGGCAATGTGCATCCTGAAGATGCAGATACATTAGCTAGTGAGGGATTAACTAGTACATTCTTCAGTTCTGAACCAGCAATTTCAATCTCATCACATAATGGCAGCTGCAGGGCTTAAAGAGTGCCTGAAGGAGACGCATTCTGAACATTGGGCTGCTGCAAAATGAACGAGGTGGTTGAAAGGCCTTCAAAGAAACTGTATAGGGACCTACTGACCTATGACAGGAAGAAACATAGGCTGGCAACTGAATACTGTTAAATGAGGCGACAACTAAATGCAGAAGGGCCAAAATAAATGTATACACACTTCAATGTACAAAATATCTTCTTAAATACTTCACTGGTGATTCAAATTTGATAAGCAGAGAAAGAGACCTTGAAATAAAACAAGTGTTTAAAGTGCCCACCATTAGCTTGTAGACACTTCTGAGTTTGGTGGGATAGCGCACAAGCAACAGTGGCCAAAGTGCTCACAGGGATAGTGGTACACAACATTTGAATTTCTTCCCATAATGTTTCGAGTGTTGGTGATTTTCTGCAACGTACCACATCCTTCAGGGACCCCCACAAGTAAATCTGGAGGGAGGTTAAATCAGATGAGTGTGGGGGATACTCAACACTACCTCTTTGTTCTATCCATTGACCTGGTAGGGTTTCTGAAGTCTCAGCAGTAGTGTGGTGGTGTGCCAATGTTGTTAAAAGTAAACTGGCTCATCACAACATGCAGGTAAAATGGATGTATGAAGCGTGTTGAGGTACACAAGACCAGTAACTGTTCCTTCAAAAAAGAATGGTCCAATTAAACACCTGTATGACAGTCCACATCAGACTGTAAGTCCTGGCAAATTAACTACTTTGTCTACATGAATGTGTGGATTTTCTGAAGCCCAGCACACAAAATTATGGCGATTTACTGTACCATTCAGCTTAAATGTTGCTTCATCAGACCAAACAATTTTGCTCATGAACTCCTCATCCTTATGTACCGTGTGTTGAAACCACTCAAAAAACTGCAATCTTTGATCAGGACTGTCTTCATTCATGGCATGTAACAACCTTTGGTTGTCAACTTTCCATTTAGCATGTTTTTTAATACACTGTACACTTGATCTGCTAATTCCCGTCTCTCTTTCGCTCTCCCCCTCTTCCTCTCTCTCTCTCACACACACACAGATATACACACTTTGTTTTGTGGATTTTTGTAGTGACTGTGTAAACTGTTCCAACACCATAGCAGAAGAGGTGGCACCTGTTGCTGTGCAAGGCTTCCCAGATCTTTGCTTGTACCCATTATGCACTGTACCATTGGCCTCAAATTTGTCATGAATGTGTGCAATTGTTAATCATGTTGGAGGATCCATTGCAAATTCAATCTGCCACCGTCTTGGGACAAATTTTCAAATTCCCAGTATTACTTCAAAATTATCTTGTATTGCTTGAATGACAACCATTCCATCACCATTTTCTTTGACTATCCTGCAATCCAATAAGGTGACTCTGGCATTCATATGACTAGCAACATCTTTAGAGAGAACAGCACACTACACTACATACATTACATTTTGGTTCAAGTTTTAAGTGTCCACAGATAACCTCTATTAAAGTGTGTATACATTTTCTGGGCTCCTCTGTATTATGGATAGGAGGAATCTTTCTACTGCATATGTTCTCAATGCCCAGCTTTAGCTAAGCATGGTTAGAACTGACGGATAGAGTAGGGCTTTAATCAGGATTATTCTGCCTCCAGCATTAGGCCAAGGCTCCTTATAGGGCCCTAACAGGATCAGGAAGGCACAATGAACCCACCCTGAGTGCTTGTGGCAAATGAAGTTGTATCTCTCAACTCAATACCAATATCAGAACATGATATGGTCAACTGACAATGTGATGTTTCATTCTCAACTTACTTGTGTTATTATGCTGAACAAAAAAGGACATATTAACTTCAGTGCTTTACCATTAGGTACTGTGGGATTTTATACAATCATCTTATTATATCATATATGTACATATTTTTCACATATCAGTAAAAAAAGCTTTTTGTTTGGATTTTATTAGAGAATTATCTTTGAGCTAATTAAGTAATTTTCATGAAATCTTGCAGAAAGGCCCCACGACAGCAGTTAAACCCAACTCCATAAGTTTAAAATACCTGCCTGTGATGATTACAATATGGTAGCTATGTAAATCTTTGAACTAGGAGAAATGCTGATGCCATCCTATTTAAGGTACAAATATTATGTTATTTCTAATGTTTGAAAGCACTACTAACAGGCATATTAATTTTTGTCTCCAAAGTCAAGTGACAATGATCCATCATTCAATGACATCAAATCACAATATATCTATGGCTTCCATGTTCCATTTTCCACCTCCTTAAACCATTAACCCAGTAGGATCTATCACCAGGATTCCAGACATACAACCTAAATCTACAATTATATTTCAGCATCCTGTTCCATTGAAGTATCACTTTTAATCTTCTATCTATATCAATATAGACTTAGACGACATTAATCAACATTTAATTCACTAAAATGTTCGTTAAAATGTTTAAAATGTCAAACTATATACATTCTGTGTAACAGATCCTGTTTCTAATCCACTGCATTTTTAGAATGGATGAATTAAAAAAACCCAGTAATCTTGAGTTATATGCACCATCATCAGAACCCTTTAGAATAAACTTAAATCTACTAGCCACTTAACAAAGTCACTCACTTACAGCTTCACAGAAATATTTTTCTGCTCACCATTGGTTTCTGTTACCTCAACCGTGGTGGGTGGGGAAGTATATTTCTGGTGCCCTACCTAAATCCACACAACACTTTTTAAGACCTTAAATCCAATGAATCTATATGAGCAATACATTGGTATTACTGAACACAAACAGTTAAAAGTTACGATGATATGCCATTCATACACTTACCACAAAAATCGGCATCTGTGCACAATACTCATGTCCATAATTAGAGCACAGATGAAAAAAAGATACACCATATAGGACTACTTTCTGTTAAGGTAATTCTTCATATGGAAAACAACCATACAAACTGCAGTTTTTCTTGAAATTTCATGACAGAACTAATGAAACACCAATGCTGAACATGTGATATCTGCTATGAAGGAAGATGATGGGGTTTAACATTAAATAAATAGACTCTGAAGACACCACTTTCTTCATACAGTTCCAAATGCTTACCCAGCTCCGAATCAGGCTTCTTCTCTGGGTACATAACTGTTACGAAATGTCCACACTCAGGAGGAAAAAAGTGGTAGGGTTCTGGTGCACATATTGCAAATGCTGAATCTTCAAAATTTGTTATTTGTTGTAGGAATGAATTCTCTGCCAGTTTCAAATTCCGCAATAAACTGTCCACCAACACAGCATATAGATGGACAACCTTTGAATTTCGGTGTACCACTGAGAGACTGTCAACTTTAATATGAGTCTTCAGGCATGTGTAATTTCCTAATGATATAAACAAAAGAAGAAAACAAAAAGATATAAAACGTGAAACATAATGAAAAGCATGGTGGAAAAATAAAGACATGTCAATATAAGAATAATTAATCACTGAGAAGAAAGGAGTAGCAGCAGCAGCACTGGATCTAGAAGCACTTCAACAACATGATTATTAGCACCTATCTCTTCAATGATATATTTGGTTGTCATTATTTCTGCTAAAGAGGTGGTCTAACCCAGCCAGGTGGTGTATAAGATAATATAGATAGTCTGCTATTCAAAAGGTATGTAGAAATTTTAAGACCCTAATAAAATACCACTATCATTACGTGAAATATATATACGTATATTACATATGGGACAGTGTGGTGTGCGTGCACAGAGCAGAACAAAACGTGTTGGACTGGGAGGTGGAAGAGGCACAATCCTGACAGTGGTGGTAAGGAGGATGTCAATAGGAACCCATGGGTCAGGCATGCATTCCTCCTATGGGGCTCTCTGATTAACACTTTTTGCTTCCAAAATAATCAAGTGAAGATAGCCATTTTACTATGAGAGTCTTTATCTCTCTGAGTTTACTGTTTTGTAATGTATTATAGTCTGACTGCCAATTAGGCAGGACTGATCAGTGCAGATAAGCTGCTAAGTCACTGGAAATATCTTCAAACTTCCATGTGCCTTTATTTATGGCTCTAGAGGTCGCAGTGTCAGCTACCTCGGTCCCAGCAATGCCAACATGCCCAGGAGACGTATGATGTGCACAGGTTAGAGGACTCGTAACTTAATCCAGGGAAAAGTGAACTGTAAGATCCTGCAACTCAAGTGGTGAACCTGAGGTGCTTACTTTCTTCATGTGTCTTAATTAGAATGAAAGTAAGAGAATAGTCTGCAGAGCTTGAGGCAGGTTTAAAGGGTAATAATGTGTCAGTCACTTCATCCTGTGAAAATATCACGACATTGTTCAGAGAAAGAGCCAGAATAAAAGTGCAGATACATTTGCCTGATATGCACCACACAGGTTCCTATAAAACAACTACCCATCCTCTCATCACAGAGGATGTTACATAAGGACTATGATTGCAAGGGCTCAGTTGCAAAGGTACCTTCTGGTGGAGAGTCTCGAGGAGGTTGGTGCCAAGATGAACTGATTGGTGGTAAACCACCAGCTATAAAGTAACTCTGACTCTGGCTGGATGCTGAAGAGACGAAATTATTCGACAAGTTATGTTCACAATGCCGAACAGTTTGCTTGACATATTCAGATATGGAATAGTTTAAAGGCTGCAAAATTTGCCTTAGTGGGGTGGTGCTGGAATCTCTGGATGACATACTTGCAAGCTCTCAGATACCATCCAGACATTCCTCCATCTATCATGGGCCAGGAATATGGAGTGATTTGCTGGATAAGCAGGGGACAGACTATTCATCGGCTATCTGAAAGGTACAAGTGAAATTATCCCTTGGAAAGTCCACTATCAGAAAATATATCTGTTTCAGAAAGTTGTTAGAACAGGCCCCAGTGTTTTAACAGCTAGTCAGGATTATGTTCTTCCTGAAAAGTAAGAGAGTCTGAGAAGTGGCCAATGTGACAGATATCATACACCAATGTCCATGTCACATGCAGTGAACTAACAGGACTGTGGATGGTAAGGCCAAGAAAAGAGTGGATGTGATCACCCATATTTAGTGCCACAAGGTTAAATCTGAATATCAGTGTCTCTAGGATGTGATGTCCTTCATCTTCATCCACATTACTGCACAGAGAGATCCTGAAGATCTGTCAATGTAAATGGGGTATGTCGTGGGAAGTACACATTACAGATCATGAATGTGACAGTGATGACAATTATTTGTATAGCTACAGCTCATGTTACTCTGGAGCTGAACAGGACAAGAGTAACAAGGTCTCGGACAGAGATGGAAGTTCAACTGTCTGACCTTTCACAGGCAAGATGGTCATACATACATGAGGAATCCTCAGGGATGTAGCATGTGGAGGACAATGAAGTATTTCCTGCAGAGAGATGGTAGTAGGAGTCTGTGCTTTGCAGGACGTCAAGTTCACAGAGGCATATATAGAATACATTAACATTCTTCCAAATGATGTAGAGTAGCAAGAATGTCTATTTAGGCTTACTGAGTTTTCTAATTTGTGTTCTTGTTTTGAGGTTGACTGTGAAGGGATGACTCTATGTTCCATGAGGAATCCTCCCTCCTGTCATCCACAGGGTCACAGGACAGATCAGATGAGATTTCTTTAAGTGGGGTCTGTTTTTGTGGCTTATGGATTTTCGGTGCCACTGAGGGGGTCAAGGAGAGTCCATGGTCCATACAGTCAGATCTTCAGATGTTTAGGTGCAGTGGTAGAATAATCTGTCTGGGTGTACATTACAGAGGTAGGTGGGTAAGAAGCAGCAGCCTGGGCATAGACAACATTATTTTTATGAGCCTCTGGAAATGACAGGTTCCCTTCAACATGAAGTTTTGGATTGCCTTCTCCTGTAGAAATACTGGACAGTCTGGAAAGCTGAATATGTGGGAAGTGGAACTGGTATGCAGGATTGGCCCTGAGCAGATGGTGCCACCATGGTTCTTTGCCCCAGTTTAGACAAGTGATGCCAAAAGTACATTGGGCCTGCATAAGCCCAAACTGTTGGCATCTCAAGCAGTGCATGGGATTTTGTAAGGCTTAACATTGTACCATGTGTACAGAATCTTCACCCATTCAGACAGTGTCAAAGTTTTGAAGGTTAGGAAAAGGGTTTGTACAAATATTATTTTTTGGATATTATCCACTGTCCTGCTTATTTTTCAAAACACTACGTTCTGGAGACAGGATTCTGTCTCCATCTTCAAGCAGAACCTACTCAGCTGGGCCCAATCAATTGAGCTATTCACTATCTCCAGACACCTGTGCCAGTTACAAGATGGGGTATACAAGTCAAACACAGAACAAACCATCTACAAGAGCTAATAAAACATTTAATTACGTAGGTAAGTCATTAAGTAAGTTAGAAATGGATACCGAACTTAAATAAATAAGAGTATTGATTTGAAAAATGCTTTTATTTCTCAACATAATCTCCCTGTACATTGAGGCACATGTCCCATCATTTCACAAGCCCCTGAAAACCGGCAGCATAAAATTATTTGGGCTGCTGTCAGAACCAGGCAGTGACTTCCCTTTCTACAGCTTCATCGTCAGGAAAATGTTCAGCCGAAAGATGATGTTTAAGAGGGCCGAACAAATGGAAGTCACTTGGAGCAAGGTCAGGGCTATGCGGAGGATGCTCGAGGACTTCCCACTTGAAATTTTGCAGCGTCTCATTTGTCTTGTTGGCAGCATGGGGACGCATGTTGTCATGCAAGAGCAACACGCCTTTGGTGAGGAGTCCTGGTTGCTTCCATTGAATGGCCTTACGAAGTTTCTTGAGGATGTTACAGTAGGAGTTGGCATTTATAGCACTTGTTTGGCCCTCTTAAACATCATCTTTTGGCTGAACATTTTCCCCGATGAATCTGTCGCAACTAAATCTCCCTTAAATTCACTGCTGAAAGTTGGTCACCCTAGTTATCTACTATGACTTTTATCTAGATACATAGTCATTGATGCTGATGTGCCTCTACACCCACTCACAAACAGGTCACACAGAAACATATGGTTAGTATAAAGTCAAGCACAGCAAATGTAACCAATCATGGGAAAAGAATTTCCATTTGCCTCCATACCATCCAAAACTTCCCTGTTATTTGTGATACATAAATTTATTTTCTTTGAAATTGCACAGCTAAGACAAGGAATGAAAAAAAAAAAAGCTGAAATCTATGATGTCTGTAAGAACACATTCATTGTTACCTCTTCAAATTTTCAACGAGTTATTCTTTACCCAACAAATTTTACATAACTGGAAGTTGCATGTTTTTTAATGCAAATTTACAAAGTTCTGTCTTTTGAAAAACTTATATAAGACAACAACCGCCTCTATGGTCTAGTGGTCAAAGTTCCTGCCTACAGATCCAGAGGTCCGGGTTCGATTCCCAGCGCTACCAGATTTTTCTGAGAAGTAGTGGGTCTAGAACGGGGTCCACTCAGCCTCATGATGATAAATGGGAGCTATTTCAAGGATACAGGGGCTCCGGTCTAGAAAACCGAGATTAACAGCCATGGGGATCCGCTGCGCTGACCACGCGACACCCTCTATCTGCTAAAGTTGGCACTAACTTCGCCAACAAGTGGCAGTCGCTCGGTCAGTATAGTTCGCTTTCGGACTACAGGCCACGGATTTTGTTTTTGTATGTAAGACAACTAATTTTACTACACCATTAGGTAGTTCCTTGTTAAGTATTTCATTTGAACTAAGTTTCAGAGAAATATGCCTATTATTTCTGGAGACATATATTTCTCTGAATACAGTGATACTGCTGAGCAAAGAATGCCTTGCATTTTACAAGCTTCAGCATTCTATATCTTCATTAAAATGACTAAGTTATTGGGCAGAGCATTTTGCTATTTTAATTAGGTTATAGAAGCCTATAAAATGGCAAAGTTTAATTGTATCAAGAATTCAGCTGCTATAATGCATGGAATGACTCAAACTTTTGAAGAAATTTGACAGGCTGTACATAACCAAATGCCAAAGAATCTGAAGGAAAAGAAGATAACTTACGTTTATATGCTGTATGACAGGTGCACATTTGCTTGGAGAATCTACATGACTGTCCTGGGTTAACTTCAGCAACATCTCTACTGATAACACACTCTACAAACAATCAATATACAATTTACAGAACACAGGATACATAAGCTTTCCCCCACAGTGAGTAATAAGGCACTTTTCTTCAGGGAATGGCACTGCAGAACCAGTGACTCAAAAAGTGAAGTGAATATGAGGCAAGTAAATGTACTGCCAATTAATAAGACATGATCTGGAATGTGACTGGTTACAAGGAAACAAAGTTAGCTTTAGTTTTATTTTGATGAATACATTTCTCTGACACAGTATATTTTTAATGGCACAACATACAACAATTAATCAAGATAAGTCACTGGTGAGATGGAAAAATGTTCAGTTTTAGCAGTCATAAAATAAAATGTTCTCATAATACACTTGCGGCTGAGCTTGATATATTAGAACCTGCAATTATAGCCTAGTTTCCAGACAGCACAGGACTCTGTAACTCTGTGCTGCATCAGCATATGATAACCTTACAGGGTCAACCATGTTGAGTGCTAATTCTAATACATTTTCATGAACCTTATTAAAGTCATACAACTGAATATCATATTTTTCTTGCAAGCTCCTTGTACTCTGAAATTAAAGGCAGTTATGGAAGATTTAAGAAGAGAGCAATATCATTATTCAGCTTATATGATACCTCTTTGAAGAATATACAACTTTTTGAAAGATCACTGAATATATGAAACTGATCTATAACTAAACATTAATGTAACAGGAAACATGCCTGGAGGGGGATAGTAACAAATAGGGCTATTTTCAACTTACAATATCTCTGGCAGAACGTATCTTCTTGCCTTTCACTTTAACACAACCTTCAGTGAAGATCTGATTAGATTCAGAATTGTACTGAATGTCATATAACTCCCCAACAGTTGTGTCCTCTGAGAGTCCACTCAGTCCATTTTCTGTATCACTGTTAATCAGGTACACACTTGATTTAGGAAAATGAAAGCATGCCTCTCTTGCTGCCACCTTGGAGAGAGGAAAAGAGAAAACCTTCATAGAATGCAACTGTAAAGTCTCTGCAAGCAATGCAAATTTATGACTGTATGAGAAAAACAGTCTGTAAGTTCATAATTAATGACAAAATACTTAAACAATTATTGATTCTTATCATTCTACCTGTGATGTCACCTATTCTTCTCATTCTCTTGAAATTCACTGACTACATTTACAAGGGTATAATGGATCTGTGCTACATGGTTGCACTCTTCACCTTTATTCCTTGAATATGAAGTAAAAACATTGTAACAAACTGACATATAAAAACCTTCTACAACCAGCTGTGGATGAATATTCAGTGAGCATATTTATATTTAATCTACTGCTGTAAATTAATATGATTATAGTGTTTCTGGACAGTATCCATCATCCTATTTTTACACAAAACACAACATTTCGGAGAATGGATTCTGTCTTCGTCTTCAGGTGGAACCTACTCAGTTGGGCTCAGTCAACAGAGCTAGTCTCTATCTCCGGACACCAGCACCAGTACAAGATAGGATATATGAAACAAGCACAGCACAAACCATATACAAGAGTAAGACAAACATTAAAAACTCAACAAACGAGGCCCAGCACCGTTGTCAATGCACTATTTCACAGCTATTGTTAAAATCAGAGTGTTTTTTATGTTGGTACTACACAGAGAATTTGTCTAGTGATGACTTCCATTTTGATAGTATTCTGATTTTAACAACAGCCATGAAATAGTGTATGGACATGGGTGCTAGGCCTCAAGTGTGTGGAGGTTTTAATGTTTGTCTTAACTCTCTATCTCTGACATTCTGAACTCAGATCACCTACCAATTGTTTTCCACTTGCAGGATCATATTACAACTAGGAATCTTCTAGACCTGGTTGACAAATTCACAGATCGGGAGCGGTTTCAAAGCTTGGCCTCTGAATTAATTTCACATAGAATCAAAATTAACTCAGAGGAAGAAGTCTAAATAAAGTGGCCCATGACTTACTGCCTCTGTAGCTTCAGCATATAGGCTACTGACATGCAAAATTACTCTCTCAGACCTTAATAACGATTTATCTGGTTAGGAGAATCTACTAAAACATAAACAGAGGTTAAGGAAACTGTGGCAAATAACCCGGGATCCAGCACGTAAAACAACAGTTAACTGGGTTGTCATAACCATCAGATGAATGACCCATAGAAAGGCACTTGAACGGTGGGAAACAAATGTAGGGAACTGTGACATCACACCTCAAGCTCTGTGGCCTATTGCAAAATTGCTTATGAAAAGAAATTGACCAAAGGCACCAACTGCCATTGATGGACCTTTACGAATAACATATTATCCAAATGAAAAAGCCAACATGATTGCGGATTGTTTCAAAAACCAGTTCACATCTCATGACCTGTGTGAAAAAAACCACGAGTAATGGGTGCGGACTAGAGTCCAAGCTCTGCCCACATCTGTAGATGGCACCCTGCAGGGGAAAGTAAGACCTTGTGACATACGTAATTTAGCAAATTTATTAAAACTGTGAAAGGCTTGTGGATTTGATGGTTTCACAAATGAATGCCTTAGGCATCTTCCAAGAAGACTGGTGGTATATCTGACACAATTACTTAATCACTGCCTTTGGATGTGACATTTTACAAGGCCTTGGAAGGAAGTAAAGTTATAACATTACTGAAACTGGGTAAGGACACAAAATTTCCTCAGAATCTATGACTGATTAGCCTCCTGTCTATAACAGGCAAGCTATTCAAAAAAGTTATTCTGCAAATAGTCCAAAGGCACACTAAAGAAAAAGGCTTGCTTAATGAAAGCAAATTTGGTTTCCATGCCCATCACAGCACAACACTTCAATGTATGAGGCTTATGGACCACATAACTTTAAATTTAAAAGAACACTCCACTTTGAAAAATGTGACATTTTCCAATAGTTCTGTAGTCAAAGCAAATATTTTCCCAGTCATTTATGTTTGATTACTCCTCAACTCCAGTCAAAAAATAAATACTTCTTCTCTATTCATATTAGACTAATACTTAATGCTAATGTTAACATTAATACTAATGCCTTATGATCTATTTCTGAAACTTGTCACTGCCAAATATACTGATAAAATTTACACGTTTCTTACCACCAATTCTAGTGTCAGTCCAGGTACACCACTATAATCAAATGTTCTGAAAGTCTGGGATACAGCTAACCAAACGTGACTTGAAATAAGACACTTTCCAAACAGTGCATGAAGAAATGATAGTTGTTCTAGATGAGCCACTTCTTTGTCAAGCAGTAGCAAATGCTCATCAGGTTTAGTGTTGCATGTCCTATGAATACAGAAACCGAGTATTCTACTGGCAATGACAATTTCTTAATTTGGAGAACAGAAGCCTACCTTCTTCTGTAAGAGAAGCAACGCTTCAATGATGGCATCAGCTTGCAGTTCACATATAAGTGGAAGCCTTGTCTGAAGTCGTAAATGAAGGAACTGCATCCACAAGTCTGTCTCGTTCACTACTTCATATATAGTATCTGTCAAATTCTCATGTGCATAAATCTGTGCTTTTAATCCAGAATGATTGCCCAGTTGGTAAAACAAGAAAACAGGGTTGTCTGTTATGTGCACATCCTGTAGGGGAATGAGAAAGACAAAAGGGTATAAAGTCTGGAGGAATGTGGTGTCTTAGTTTTAAATTTAATGTGGACTGCTATTACAGTTCATGTTAAATGGGTCTTTTGTCATCATGCCATTGTACAGCCTCAGGATGTGGGTGGAGGACAAGGCCTCCAGACATGGATAGCAGCTGAGAATATACTAACAAAGCTGACCAGGAATGGTCCTCCAGCCTAGGGTGGTGACACTGTCAGCACCTCAAGACTATATGTGTACAGTATCAAATGGAAGGATGATTAGTGAATGAGTAGGAACGGATGCCTACTATTTGGTCGCAGCATTCATGAGTGTGTATGGGTGTGGGGGCATGTCAGCTTCTAAGGCTGTTTGAGCTGGTTTGAAAGATATGCTAAAAGTTCCATAAAATCCACATAATGTCTGTATCAGTGTAAGATCTACTGCCACTGGATGAATACCCAGCTGCAGCAAAACAACAACAACAACAACAACAACAACAACAACAACAACAACAACAATAATAATAATAATAATAATACAGCATGCAGCAGAGTACAACAGAGTACGAAAACTATAAACGAGTCAGTCGTCAATCAGAATTCAGGGAGTCTGCTGTCGAAGGAATTAGACTGTGAGTTTACATGTGCTGTAGTACAGTGATATTGGGAGCGTGTAATTTAGTGAGACTTCTATAGTTCCTATGTCATAAATCCATTGCCAGGAAACAGTTAAGACTTGTGGAAATAGACTGAGGAGATTAGTGTGGAGTGATTTGTAAAATGGAAACCAGGAATAGAGTTATAATTATTTGTAGTATTGACGACCTGTAAGTGGTCAATAAATCCAATTATCAACCCAAACCCCATCTATAATCACTAATACACATGACAATATGTACACTTGGACTTCTCTTTGTTCGAAGATATACAATGAGCCTAGTCTTGTCCTGATAGATATAAAACAGCATTCAAATATGATATTTGATCTTTAAGATGAATTCAAATTGATACCATTAAAGGTAAAAGGTAATGCTGTCCCTGTGCTTAACAGTTAAGTGCTACACCTTGAAAATGGGGGAGTAGACATATAGATCCACATTTTCTACACCTCAGCAATGGTTGGATGTGAGTGGTCAGCTTCATGCCCTCACCACTTTATTCCTGGGAAAAGAGCCATGGTATCCACTGGATAGGAGGCTGGACAAGCACCAGAGCCAGTCTGAATGTCGTTAATAAGAGAGAATTCTTGACTCTACCAGGACTCGAACACTGAGAGCCCGGTCATCCAGCCTGTAGCCAGTCGCTATACTGACTATGCTATCCCAGCTCCAATTTGCTACTATTATACAATAATTTTAAAACTAAGGGACACAGAGTAAGTAAACAAGCAACACAGAATTTGATATGGAAAGATTCAATTTCAAGAAACCAAATGATATAGCCAGACTGAAACCCACCACAGGTCTTCAGCTTTGGAAAATCTGGATGTCAGGAAGGATGTCAATAGGCCTTTGGAAAGTATTCGAGACAGTATCAACATTTCATTTACAGAGAATTCAGTAACTGACTTCATGCAAACTGTTCCAATTAATAAATCAAAAATAGCAGGTAAAACTGAAACAGTTGTCCAACCAAAGCCAAATGAATGAAAGCAAAGTGAACAATGGAATACATAAAACTAGTAGACATTGCAGAACATGGCAAGGGAATACCAAATATCTGAAGACAACATTTATTTCTTATGTGGTCTACTTTAAGGCACTGTCAGTATCTCAGATTATAATGCATTGAAGAGTAGGATTACTCTTGCACAATGAATTGGAGAAGATTCGGAAGGAGGCAGTTGTGTCCTAATCAACATTCTACATGCACCTGTAGAGACTGAGGAAAACCATGAAGGACCTTAGACAGGATAGCCGGTTGTCTGCCTGAGATCGAAATGAAACCTTATGAATAAAAGTCTAGTGTTTTAACACTATACAAACCAGCTAAGTGGTCAAATTAATGAATTAGAACAGCAAAAACAAATATGTCAGGTACATGTAAGAGACATATATGACTGATAGGATTCATTCTGCATATATACTTCTCAAGTTAACATAAGGTGGTGATTTCACATCTCATTTTTGACATGAATAATTTAGAATGGGTTCCCAGCCTTGGTAAAGAATTAGAATGGTTATCTGCTTACAGTTTTCCACAACAGGTTCACAATGCTGAGCAAACTGTAATACATATGCTAAGTCATTAGTATCTGAGCCTACTTCTCTCGAAGCTGAGATTGCTATTGAAAAGTTGAAAAGATATAAATCACCAGGTAATGATCAAATTCCTCCTACCCTCATCTTTGCCATGCAAAAAGAGGTCAGCTCGTACTAAGAGTGACACAAGAGCCAACACAAAAATACATTTACATTTTTTGTTACTGTCTCTGTTTTGGAAAATTAAGTCTGGTACTAACAAATATGTGTGGCACCAGAATTAAAACAAAAGAAATATAAAACAAGTTTATAATTTCCTATGTTCTGTTGATTACAAATGGCTTTACATCTTCCTTATCGGTACAGACAAAAATTACATTAAGCATACCTGCTGCAGACCTTCAGGAAATTCTGATGTTAACTGTGATGAATCACTGCATATCACATAGCCACACAGTTCAATTTCTGCTGGAAAGTGAAGCTTCTGATTCTCCACTGAGACAGAATCAATCTCTTCATCTAATTTCATGCACAGTCCTATGACCAACAGAGCACCATCATCCATCATGCCAAATAAATTGCCTATGCATTCTGATTTCACTGCAGCCAGTCTCTGGAAAGCAAAATAATTAGAAGATGAACATGGATGGGTGTTTTGACCAAAATGTTTCAGTTGCTGTTAAGATTCATATGTGCTATTTCTGGAGATGATGTCTCTGAGGCATGCATTAACTGTATCAATGGGGCCCATTAGAATGGGTGCTTTAACTGATGAGAAAGTCCAAACTCTGAAAAGTCATAGCAAATACAAAATTATGACAATGGAAATGTCCAAAAAATTACTGCTGTATTAATATATTACTGCCACAAACTTTTAGAGCTTAAAATATGTTCAAATATGCATGATGACAAAAAACTGCAAGGCTCCATACATACAATTTTACATCACTACTCATTTAAAAAATATACAAGAAAATAAATAACAGTACGTTTCATACAAACTGCCACTGGTGAATATTTATTCACTTATGGTAAGCAACCATACTCCTGGAGCCCTGGATTAATGTAGTCACTGATTACTGGATTTAAAGGATATGAAGATCACCCAACTGTACAAGATGTTCCAGATTAACCAAATCAAACTGCAAATTGAATACTGAACTTAACCTGAAGAGTTGTTGACTTGTAGATGGCTTAAACTGATTTGTCCAACTGTACTTGTGTAACAGTTTATGGATGTAAATAAATTATGAATTATTACTATAATACTAATTTAACTTTTGACTCACATTAAGAACATTACTCGCAATCTTCAGACGTGGAGACATATTGTCTTCGTTATGCTAATTTCGGAAAATGTCATCCGGATTGCGAAGCGTGACTGCCTATACGCTTCAATGTATATAGCACGCTGGAATACAGATTATTTGTATTTGTTTGCAGTACTTCTGTTAGCGATGTATTGAATATATTCGACAGAACACTGCAATGTTTAATTCTTGTATAATGTAACCGAAGGTCTTATTCACTAACAAATGTATGCTTGAACTCGTTTACCTCCCAACGGACAAACAAACAAAATGAAATATAAACTGATATATATATAACAAAATATAAATCGCAGTTTCGAATTACGCCTATTTCTCCACGTTGCAACACATATTACACACCACAAATTTCCCTCTACGCCGATCTACACTTCCCGAGTTCCCGAGTTCCGAGCGGTGCTAGCCGCTCAGTGCCCTCAGTGCCAGTGCTATTTGGTTGCAAAGTATCGATGTGACGTAACGAGCGGTCACGAGTTTATTATACTACCATCTATTGCAGATACTCGTGCAACTGTTACCAATTGGCACCAGCCTTTGCCAAGATCTCAATCGGTAAGACAGTTAACTGCTAATCCGCTGTAACAAAATTCCAAATATAAAACACCAAACTACAGGATACTTTCGGTATGCTGGTGATATCCATATGCTTATAACCGAGACAAACATTATTCTAATTCAACCGAACTACATTTCACAACAGAAATGGAATCCTAAATTTATAAATTGGAAAATACACAAAGAAAGCAATAAACAGAACTTTTCAATATTTTGAACATCAACAAAAGCAGGCATCCATGATGACACTTGTCACACTTACGAAGCTTATGAACATAACTTATCTTGATTCTATAGGGTTCTGACGATGATGCATAATATTCAGAATTACTAGGTTTTTGGACTTTGTTCATCGCCTGGGTTTCTATGAAGTATAAAACACAACGTTTAAAAAACTGGATCTGTTTCTGTCCTCAGGTGAGGGGGAAGCCACCTACTCTGTTGGGTCCCCTTGAAAGAGCTAACCTGAATCACTGGACGACTCCTGTCAAAGTCAAAATTACATCGCAACTGGCGATTTACCACCAATCAATTCGTCTTGGTGTCAGGCCCCTTGAGACTCACGACCAGTGATTTTATTTTTTCAACCAAGTCCTTGCAGTAATAGTCCTTATGTATCATCCGCTCTGATGAGAAGATGGGTTTATCTCTTGAGAATATATTTGGCTTTTTGTCAAGTGTACGTTTTGCAAATATAACATGTTATTGTAAATTCTTTCTTTTGCACTACACACAAGTCCTCTTTCAGTACAGGCTTTAGAGAGCAGATCATGCCCATCTTACATATCTTATTCTACAACAGCAGCTTAATCACCTGTACAGTTGTAAGCTTGACCACCACCAAGTTTAAGCTTCTAATATTTTCTATGTATGGCATCACCTTGTCCTATACCATGAACATGTCCACTCTTATGATTCTGTATGACTTCTGCTTTCCACCTGCACAATTTTATTTAATTGTATACATACGAAAGGTTGAAAGCCACGTGCAAATCACAGACCGATGTGCACCTTGAAAATTTGTCATTGGCACAGAGAACCTTGTTTTGTAAGTCCTGCAATTTTAAGAGGTAAGTGTTGGGCAGCTCAAGATACCACCATTTCAAAAGTCTGATGTTCGAAGGTCATTACATTAAACTTTGTGGAGTGAGTTTCATTTCTATGCCTATTGATCCACCATAACTCACGTTTTACAAGAAACTCAAATCAAATTTTACTGAGGGTTTGGATTAATGTTGGTTCGAATGGTTCACACTGAAAATATTGTGAACTGACTGTATCAGCAGTATTACGAACCTGTTGGCTTACATCACAAATTCAAGCTTCTGCCACACCATGACAAAAAGTGCAGTAACAACTCAATTTAAGGTTCTGACTTTAATGATTTGTTAGAAGACATTACCATTTTGAAATAAAGGTCTTGATCATCATTCTGTCATGGATAATAACTTCATCTTCTGAAAAGTAAAATATATGGGAAGTGTAGTAGGCATGGGATAAACCACATTTTGCTCAATGGCTTACTTATGTAGGCCAAGGAAATTCTGTTTTATCCCATACTGGCTTGTATGCAAGTTTTGTCCTCTTATTTTTACATCTATTGTTCTTTATTTCTGATCACAACATTATTTAATGTTATTATATTATTATTATTATTATTATTATTCCATGTTCATATTACAATGTTTTGTTTTTCTTTTGTAGACTTGCTACCTATTATCTGCAAGTCTTCCTTATAACCCTGTACATCCTAGACACTTCAGTTCACAATTCCCTTTCTTCTTGCCGTTGTTATTTTCATATTTTATTCTATGCTGCTTGTCAATATCGAATCCCTGGCCATCTTGAGGAAGCATGTATACCCAGGGTTTGAGCCCTCCTGTACTACACTCACAGCTCTGTTCTACACTAGGAGTGACAATATCAGATGCCATCTTTCACTAGCTTCTATGCCTAGAAGTGGGACACATGGCCACCTACCATACTGTGAGTGCAATACTGCCAACAACTGTCCCATTAATTTTTATTTTCTGGTGTCCATGTCTTCAGGAAAATAAACAGAGTCCAGGTCAGCCTTGTATGAACCGGATGAAACACAGATTCAGACAAACTGTACCAATCACACCAACTATACCAGTCACACAAAGGCCAAGCAGAAGGGCCACACCAATTGACAAATCAGACAAACTGAACCACCCATCAAACCAAACGTAACATAAACTGAGCCCAACTCAAATGATTGTACACATTTCTGTATCTCCGAAAACGTGGGGCATAGACCCAGACACTTCTAAGGATTCAATGTCCCTGGTCCATTCAATATCTTCCTTGAAGACCTGCTGTAGTGTCTTACATGTTGATGCCACTTCCAAGATTTTCCTATGAACTGGAGGCCATGTTTACAATTTTGAGGCATATGCTCAACACTCATTCTTCCTTGTCTGAGCCATTAAAATCATTTTCATGTGGAACTAGTACACTTTAACTGTTCTTTTGATTTTCTTTGGAGTAAGACATTGACTTCGGTGCCACAACACAATTATTGGTTTCCTCTGAATGCTTTAAGACCATTAATTTAAAGTTCACATCACAACTGTAATGCCTCCCCTTCAATATCTGACACTGTAGAACGTCTTTTTCCAAGATGGTCATACACTATGGAAACCACATATGGTCACAAGTGATTTATACCAGTCCAAGCACACTTATCTGACTTCGAAAACAAGGAGGATGTCATGAAATAGCCACATTACCCACACTAAAAATATTAGCCACAGCATACTACAAATAACATAAAAACATTGACTCCAGTGTGCCAAGATGGCCACTGGTTTTTCAGATGTTCTGATCTGAAGAACCTAATCTTATATTTGGGTTAATAGCATATTTATTCATTGGCAAAAAAGTCACTTTATTAAAAATGCTCTGTGAGAAGGCATATTGTTATGACATAGAATATGTGTCTGACCAAAGATTTAATCTTTTCAATTAATGTACTGTGAAAATGCTGAAAAACTGAAGCTTGCTTGTGTGACTATTTCTTTTGGAGGAAAAAATGGGCAGTGCCACTGATATTTAAATAGCACATCAAAACTAACATTTACAAAGTATAATATCATAATTCTGATCTCAGATTTTGACAGTCATGTTTCTTGATCTCAAAAACTCCAGATTTTCAACTGGGGACTTTGGCATTTTGTATCTGCATCATACTGCTAAGTTGAACTATACTGCTGAAAGATCTAAGAAAACTTCTTCTCCTCCTTATTCTGAAAACAAATAAAACATTGAAAAAAATAACTGGAGAAACTTGGTTCCCAAGATTAACGTCAAAAATGCTCTCGTTTGGCATGCAACTTCATTTGGGTACATTATTACAATTAACTTCTTCTAACTGCTTCTTTTCCCTGAACTGCCTCATATATTCAGCATGACTATTACCAGCAGACATCTTATCAGCGCGTGACATCATATGCTGGCAGCTTGCATACTGAATTGTGACATGATGCCTGGGTGCTGCAATCTGACCATATATGGGTGGGGCTTCTATGAGCACACTGCCAATGTAGTTAGTTAGTTAGTTATTGGAGAGGGTGGGTTTCCCCATGCACTGAGACCTGTATTGGTCCATTGTGCTTCCCTCTATGATTTCTACCAGTCTCTATATCCTACCGGTACTGGTGCTTACCATCAGTCCCGCCCAGCCAGCGAGACCGGCTCTACTAGCTGAGAGGTATCTATAATGCTTCCCCCATCTACCAGAGGTATTAGAGACTGCTGTTGGGCGGGAAACGTCTGTTAATTTGGCTCAGTGACCTCCTTTGGAGATATGAGGTTCTTTTATGTGCCGTAAAGCTACGACACGGGACCCACGGCTTAAAGTCCCTCCCGGAGGACTTGTTCCCTGAATTTTTCTGCCCTTAAAAATTCGACGACCTCCGCCAGGTATTTGAACCCGCGTAGTATGAATCATGAAGTGGGAACGTTACCTCTAGACTACGGAGGCCACTCACTGCCAATGTAACAAGGTCAACAATAGAACTTCGGTTACTTAGTAGCAAAGGTCTCGATAATCACGACAACAGAGAAATCAACCGTTAGACTTGGTGTCTCCTATTCGGTATGCCAGAACCTACCTCAGGGACAGAAATGACCAACAGAATACGTCACAAGAAGTCATAAATGAAGTCTTTACTTTATGTGATGTAGTTACAGTAACCTGAGCATTATCATTGTTCATAGTTATGAAGTGTTATAACTAACTGTAGTTTCACCTGGTGAATATCCAACAAATCAAATCATCTAATACAGAACCCATTAATCACTTGTCGTGTTACCTGGATACATTTCAGTACTGCGTCACCCACTAAATGAAGGAACTGAATTAGTTGTGTGTGTTACAAACAAATGGTCATTGCTCCTAATCCGTAAGTGAGGGACCAAAATGGACTGCATTTCTGAGAAGCTCACATTTATTAATGTATGTCACTTGCAATAAGTCCAATCCATCTTTTACAGTTTAGCCATCGCAGATGGCTGAAAGTCTGTAAAATTAGGAAAATTATTACATGTTTTGGGTAATTGTTTAAACAATGTACAATTTTATTTTGGGAATAAAATAAACATCAGTTTTGAACAGATCAGTCTTTATTCTTTCATTTACATATAACTTTTAATATAAAATAAGCCACAGGTCTCGAGTTATCAGCGGTTATGTAAGAGGTTGCACAAGTGTTACACTGAGTGTTACATTACACTTTCTGTTATTAATGGTTTCATTCAATTTGCATCCTTGTATAATAATGTGTTCAATGTTAAAAAACAATTACTGAAACCAAAAAACCACATCAAACTCAGTGGCAAAAAGAAATGCTGAATCATGTACTCACACACCACCTAACTCACGTTGCTTCTTGCTACACAGAAACTTCGGTCTGATTTTTTAATTGCCAAACCTAACAGAAGCCAGTGACTCCTTTTAAGGATACTAGTGTCCCATCATTTTACTGTCCAGACCAAGGAATACCATGAAAAAGGATATGTCATCTAACTAGACATTAGTATCTTGTCTGAACCTTGATGTGAAAGAAATGAGTTTTAACTACTTCCTTGAAAACAAAATGTGTACTAATTCGTTATTCAGTTTATTATTTTTGCTCATTCTTTTAAGACACCGTGCAATGGTCACATTCTGTACGGAATCAGGAGAAAAAGATATATAAGTGAACGCTCATGTTATTATTTTACATATTCATAGGTAAGCAAAATATTTAATAACACAATGACACAGGGAAGATTACCAGCTCTCCCACCATGGTTCAGAGTCCACATCAAGCTGTATATTCCCTCTGTTGACCATCACCTGCATGATCACTTTATCAGTGATAAACCCTGCGCCTCCCCCACCCCCAGTCATATGTGTACTGTACACATTTGCTTAAATGGGCAGAGGCCAGAAAGTCAACATGTACCATATCTAAAGGAACTTAACAAATAACAAGCATGGCTACATTCCTTAGAAGCATAAGGTTTGATGTATCTTCCTTCTCAGATGACCTATGATTCTTCATCTTCCTCAATCTCATCATCGGAATCCTTTCCAGTACTATCAATACCTGACTCCATCCTCATAAAGGTGGTTTCCATTACAGCATGGAATGGACATACACCATATTCTGGCCAGCTAATGAACTTGTGGAACACTGTCAGTATTTCCTGTGGAGTCAGATCACCAAACTGTGTGAAGATAGTCATCCCATCCACAATAAACCGAGAACCGCAGCCAGGAATCCATTTCCTGTCCAAAGAATATATTCTGTTTATAAAAGACGAAGTAGAGTGAGTACAGGGATGTCAAACGATTTATATTTTTTAACTGTGGCAAATTCTAATCTTGCCAGAAATGTGACTCCAAACTTGAAACCAAATTGTAAACTTCTCACTTCATAAAGTTCCTTTCCATGTTACAACACAGAATACAAGTATTGTACAGGCAAGCGACATTTATCCACTTACACATTTACTAGTTCTCTCCACTAATGAATGTGAACTGAATTTTGTATACTGAAGTCCTATTAAAATAAACAATAAATCAATGACAACTGTCTTCACCTTCATCCTGTTCATCCCATAATGTTATGAGCACTTGCAGTATAGTGTCCTTGGCGTGCTTGTATCAATACAATGTACATGTGTCAGATTTAGAAACATATGAGTATATAGACTTTAAAGGATTCTGATGATGGTGTATGCTGTACAGAACTATAAGGTTTATTTTGGGCTCTATCCATCATCTGGTATACAGTATAAGACAAACAACCACAACGTTTCAGACACTGGATGTGTCTCCATCCTCAGGTGGATGGGGCAAAACAGACCTACTCAGTTGGGCCCGTTAGAAAGAGCTAGTCTCAATCACTGGACAAACCCTGGTCAGTAGAGAACAGCCTATAAACACATGACAACAGGTTCCATCATTAGGAGATAAGAATAAAATCACAATAAAAGACAAGCTAAAACTATTGTGCCAAGCATGCACATGTCAAAAATGTGATAAAACCGTGGTATGGATTAAGTTTCAGGAATTAAGTTAAAAACTAAGGTAAAAAATATAGAGGATGTATAGTTAATTATGCAGATAAAGAATCATGCCACCAGGGAGACTTCTCGAAATAAGATTAAACTCCAGAGCAAAACTAGCACATGTAGTGGAAGACACTGATTTTCATAAAAAACTTATATACCAGACGATGGATAGAGTCCAAAATAAACCTTATAGCTCTGTATATGAGTATATCTTTGAAATTAACATCTAAACATGTTCAAACTTGATGGGTATACACTTCAAATTATCATAAACATTATGAAATCCAAGCCTGGCCTCTCTGCTGCCTTTATATACCACCTGTAGAAATTTTAGAATATGCAAAATCTTTGACTGGGGATATATTACACTAAAAATCATCTTATCTTAGTCACCACATGAACTGTAAAAATGGCATCTGTAAGTACTCCCAGATCATCTTCATAAACACATGGCAAGAGTTAACACATAATTAATTTGGTTTCTCTTGATTTCCAACTTCAAGAAAACTGAAAAAATGTCAAAACAGGGGATTTAGCTGGACACTAAATACAGTGAAACAGTGGTAGATTGATTACAGCTTATAATGAAGACTTCACTATACCAACAAAAATCACTGGAACCATCAGTTTCTTAATATTGTCCACGTGGAGAACAATGGCATAGAATGTGGACTTTTTCCAGCCCATTTGTCATAACAAGTAATTCCTAACTAGCTGCAACTTTTGCACCAACTATTCTTGCAGTTCTACTTCTGAGTTATTTATGGCTAGCAGCCATCAAAATAACAGATCAACTACTGATCAGATTTTCTGCATTCATCAGATACTAGAGAAAAAATGGGAGTACAATGAGACAGTATATCAGCTATTCATAGAGGTCAAGAAAATCTATGATTCATTTATGAGGGAAGTGTTGTACAATATTTGCATTGAGTTTGAGGTATCCATGAAACTAGTTACGCAGATTAAAATGTTTAAACAAAACCTATAGTAAAGTCCGTATAGGTAAATATTTGTCTGATAATTTTCCTATCCAGAATGGTCTAAAACAAGAAGATGCTTTATTGCCACTGCTTTTGAACTTTGCTTTAGAATATGCCATTACAAATGTCCAGGAAAACCAGGTAGGACTGACTGAAATTATGTGGGACACATCATCTGCTGGTCTATGCTAATGATGTGAATCTACTGGGAGATAACACAGATACCATTAAGGAAAACACAGACGCTTTAACTGATGCTAGTAAGGAGGTTGGTCTGGAAGTAAACACAGAGAAAAACAAGTACATGCTGCTGTCTCATCACCAGAATGCAAGGAAAAATCATGTCATAAACATAGCTTACTGATGCTTTGAAAATGTGGCACAGTTCAAATATTTGTAAACGACAGTAACAAATCAAAATTTGATTCAGAAGGATATTATTAGGAGACTAAATTAAGGTAATGCTTGCTACAATTCAGTCCAGAACCTTTTGTCTTCTCACCTGCTGTCTAAAAACATAGAAGTCAGAATACACAAAACTCTAATTTTGCCCACTGTTTTTCTGTATGGGCGTGAATCTTGGTAAGGAGGAACACAACCTGAGCGTGTCTGACAACAGGGTGCTAGTAATACTTGGACCGAAGAGAAATGAAATGACAGGAGAAGGATAAAACTGCATAATGAGGAGCTTCGTAACTTTTACTCTTCGACAAGTATAGTTAGAATGACCAAGTCAAGGAGTATGAGATGGACTGAGCAAGCAGCACGAATAGGACAAAGAGGAATGCATATAGGACATTGGTGGGAAAGCCAAAAAGAAAGAGACCACTGGGAAGACCAAGATGCATGTGGATGGATAATATTAAAATGGACCTTAGAGAAATAGGATAAGGTGGTATGGACTGGGCTGATCTGGCTCAGGATAGGGGCCAGTGGAGGGCTGCTGTGAACATTGTAATGAACCTTCAGATTCCATGAAATGCTCAGAAGTTCTTGAGTAGCTGCTCAACTGGCACCTTCTCAAGAAGGGCTCAGCTCCATGAAGTCATTCAGGCAGCTAGTTAGTAGTCTCTAAAAGGTCTGTTAACTCACCCTTCTATCGTATCCTTGTATAGAAGAAAGTTATTGAAGATTCTGTGAGCAGCTTATCTAGGTGGGGTAACACATACAACACAAAGATGCAGGTGCATGCTTAAGGTTTTGTCACATAAAACATCTGTGTTTCAGGTGGTACTGACTGTGAAATCATAACTATGGCAACAAAATAGAAGACCTTGGACTTTAATGCAAAACTCAAAATAATGCATGTGTCATGTTGGCAGCTCATTAAAATGTGAAACGGAAGATGGTATGAATTAACTTCTTCAGTACTGTTTATGACACTGAAGGACAAAGAGAAATATAGTACGAGGGTGAGTAAAATGAAAACCGTAAAAAAATTTTTAAATTTAATTTACTGAATGGAAGCGGTACACAACTATATAATTTTTCTACATAGTCTCCATTTCATTCGATATAGGACATCCAATTTTTTCAAAGTGTATGGATTCTTCTAGAAAAAAATTCTTGTGGTTGTCTGCACAACCACTCGTGCACCACCTGCTGTACCTCTTCATCAGAATGGAACTTCTTTCCTCCCATTGACTCTTTGAGTGGCCCTAACATGTGGTAATCACTTGAGGCTAGGTCTGGTGAGTATGGCAGATCTGGAAGACACTCAAAGTGCAAGTCTTGGATTGTTGCAATTGTTGCACCGGCAGTATTGGGCCGAGCATTGTCATGTTGCAAAAGGACACCTCTAGTCAAAAGTCCATGTCACTTTGATCTGACTGCAGGTCGAAGATGATTCTTCAAGAGATCTGAATATGAGGCACTGGTGATAGTGTTCCCCCGAGGCTTGTAGTGCTCCAAGAGTACGCCTCGTTCGTCCCATAAGAGAGTCAGCATAATCTTCCTGGTGGATGGCTGTGTCCGGAAATTCTTGGGTTTTGGTGCTGAGGAATGACGCCATTCCTTGCTCGTTCTCTTTGTTTCTGGTTGGTGGTAGTACACCCAAGTTTCATCACCAGTACCGATTCTTGAAAGGAAGCCATCACCTTTTGCTTCAAGGTGCCACAGAAGTTCTTCACAGGCGTCAACACATTGTTGTTTCAATTCTGGAGTAAGCTGCCATGGCACCCACCATGCAGACTCTTTGTGAAACTGAGGCACATCATGAATGACATGGTGTGCTGATCCATGACTCATGTTAAGAATTTCGGCTATTTCATCCACTGATACTTAGCGATTCTCCATCACTAGGGCTTCAACTGCTGCAATAGATTCAGGGGTCACAACTCTGTGCGCCTGACCCAGGTGAGGAGCATCTGCCACAGACGTCACACCATTTCTGAATTTCCTACTCCCCTCGTACACTTGCTGCTGTGACAAGCATGCATCACCATACTGAACCTTCATCCGTTGATGAACTTCAATTGGCTTCACACCTACACTGATCAAAAAACGAATTACAGAACGTTCTTCTTCTTTCGTGCATGTATGTAGGGGAGCAGCCGTCTTCAAACTGGCACTGTGATAGCATTCTGTTTGTCTGCATTATACTGCCAACCTATAGGATATTTTTTATAGCACTGGTAACATGTCTGCCACCTTAGAGGACAATGGCACGATATTTCAAATTTTTATCTCAGTTTTACAGTTTTCATTTGACTCACCTATGTATATATGAAACCTAAGAAAACTACTCTACCATACTTTCTTTCATTTGTGAGTGCATACTGCTGAAATTTGTTTCATAATCTGTTTGTGACTGTGTCAAATATAATGAGAGGAGATTTGTCCACCTACCTCACAAAGAGCTCAATTTTCATTATGAATGTGTTGTCATCTGATAGAAAAACTAAACAGTTATTGATTCATGTACTGTTTACATGCCACTATCATACCACATAAGGGCTGCACCATAGCTCAAGTGGTTAGTCACTGGCTTCCCACCACGGCAGTCTGGGTTCGATCCCGGGTCTTGTCAAGTGGGATTTGTGGTGGACAAAGTGGCTCTGGGGCAGGTTTTCTCCAAGTACTTCGGTTTCCCCTGCCAATCTTCATTCCACCAATTGCTCCACGATCACTCTCACCTACCATCTGGGGCTGGTACATTAGGTCAGAAGTGGCTGCAGTACAAAGGACTTAGGCCCACGCCACTAGCAATAAAAAAAATCAACCACATTCCACACCATCCAGCCTAGCTCTGGAGTACACCCAGACTCCTATCAAACAGGTACTAGAGGATCTTTCCCCAGGGGCATGGTGGCTGAGGTGCGAAGCTGACCACATTCCTTCAACAAGCGTCAAGGTCAAGACTGGTGGAGCTATACCTCCACTCCCGAAGTCCATATGTATTCATAGTGTGGTGTTTAATTAATTTAGCACAGGAACAACTTTATCTTTACCTTACAGTACAGTTACACATAACAGCTAGTTCACAACTCTCACTCAAATATATGTCAAAAAGTTGTGTGTAGTCCAATCATGGTGTTTAGAACAACCCATAACATAATGTATGCATGCATCAGTGTGATTTAACCTATTTTGTGTGGTACATCTGTCACTCAAGTTCAATACATGTTGATGCCTTTGTTCTCACATGAATGCATGCACAAAGAATTATGGGCTGAATGTGGGTGGCACTTGTGAGTAGAATATGGGAGAACTGAGCTTGCAGGCACACAGTATATAGTTGGTGACTCCTAATTAACAGCTGACTGCAAGCAGAAGAAGTTATGATAGTTTAATAGAGTCTTTAAATCTTCAGTTCAGATAATGCTAATGATGACAAGAATGTTGAAATATTCTCATTATCATCATATTCCCATGATAATCATTCCAATGAAGAATAAATAGTGCTATGTAAAAAAAGTAAAGTAAAGCTATCCCTGTAACAGGCCATGAAGGCTCATAGGGTTGTGAGATGTTGAGGGTCCCACATTATCTAGACAATCGGTTCAAAGATGGCGGTAAGGTTGTCAGCCTTACGCACCAGCCGCGCTTTACTTCCCAGGAAAATTATTTAATAAATTTCTGGTACTCATTTCTGTTAGAGGCTGAGTCGACCCCAGGGCTTATAGTGCGACCAGAAGGATTAGGTCAATTGAAAAAAATCCAATGACCTCATCGGGACTTGAACCCGCAACCTTCTGGCTTGTAGCATTGTGCCTCAACCAACTACGCTACCTCCTGCATTATTATTTAATCCTTGGTGCCATACTGTATCATAAACAATCTGAAGATTGAGGATGGATTCATTGTTATGTATTTCAATGATTTTTGGATAATATGATTATCCATTATGAGCATTTTTAGGCATTTTATTAACTCTCATAATATAAAGGTTCCACTGTATTCTGCAATGAAAGGGTTAAATAACTCTATGGAAATGTCTTCAGTTAATATCTGTGCATCAGCAAGACATGAGCAGCTATCTAAAAAAAAAAATGCAACAGTTGATCCTCTCTTACTTTCCATAGCAGTGTACCAGGTTCAACATACATAAGAAATATGCATGCATGCTCTCCTGCGTATGTATCTGTAACAACAACAACAACAACAACAACAACAACAATGATAATAATATATATCAGGATTCATCAATAATATTAAAGCCAATTTAATACAATAGTCACTTACTCTAGCTGAGGTATGACTCTGTTCTTTCGACTTATCAAATTATGTCGAACAAAAAACCACAAGGGTTGAAGCTGGTCTGCTGAAACAACTGTTTGGAAGAAATTTTTCCGTGGAACTATTTTCACAAGGTACATAGTCCCTGGATCAATATTATGCACCTAAAATGAAAAGAAATATATAAAGTAAAATGTCCTGACACCAAAAATTGGACATTCTGCTCCTTGTTTCAAGCATTTTCAGCAATTTAAAATGGCATGTCAATTCTGTTACTCTGTGAGTAACTGCAAGAACACTATTGTGTAGAAATGTTGTCTCCTCTAGTACACATTGTCATGTGTTACTGACTAAATACAGGGTTTGGATTGGTAACTGGATTTACTGAACATTTTTTAACTCGTGACTACAAGTATTATAACACTGCTGTCAGTCTGTACACTTAACAAATCACTAATGCACATTCAAAGTCTTCTCAGTCTGTAGTGTCTTCATGTGCTTCTTGCTTAGTAGCAGCTCCCAACAATTGAGATCCATCTACTTCCTTGCTCATGTTCTTGCCAGCTGGCACCCCTCAGATGCAACTATACTAACCACCAACTGCCAAATACAAAGACTAATTCTCAGCTCTGACCTCAGACTTAAGACTAGATCACTGACCAACTGACTGACTGCTAAATTATTGCTAGCCAAGTCAGATGGTCAGCTTCAAGCCAGTACCTTCTGAATGAAAGTCCAATTCACCACAGTTGAGCTAATTTCTTAAAATCTTCATAAAAATTTGTGAATTATTCAGTGATAATTGTATAACATGCACATTAGACCAACATGACTAACACAAATCCATGGGCTGCAATATAATGACATCTTCAACTGACAGTGCTGAAATATGTGAACTTCACCCACTTCAAGGTACCTCCCTAGAATTTCCTAGGGAAGCCAAGTAAAGCCAGAAGAAGCTTATTGTTTCAGTTTCTATGATTCATACTCAGTACTTGTATATGCTCACCTTTGCCACTTTAGACCACCTTTTGGTACCACGTTTCATTTCCCAAGGTAAAAATCCAGTACGTGGAAGCTTTTCGAGTAAACACCACTCAAATATCAATTGGAAAAGTACACTAGTTGATCTATAGAAGAAGTAGCCATCTCCAGGTTGACAGGTCAAACACTGGAATACAATTCACAGCAAAAGTAAATTACTGAAAATGTGAACATTTAATACTGAACAGCTTCATTTTAGAAGCTGGGATAGCACAGTCGGCATAGCAACTGGCTACAGGCTGGATGACTGAGGGGTCAGAGTTTAAGCCCCTGTAAGGTCAAGAAATTTCCCTTCTGCATGTTGTCCAAATAAGTTTTGGGGGCCAACCAGCCTCCCATCCAATGGGTACCAGGGGCTCTTCCCCAATGGGGTAAAGTGACCAGGGCACAAAGCTCACCACTTGCTTCCAACTAGTGCTGAGGTCAAGAAAATGTGGATCTATATATCTACTCCCCCCATGTCTTCATGGCGTAGTTCTTAACTGATTAAGCAGCACAGGGACAACTTTATTTTTTTACCTTTTACACTTTCATTTTACAAGCCTGCATATCATACTAAATTTTTAGGTGCTAGTAAAATGATGAAAAAAAATATGACTGCATCCATCACGCAAAAATTGAAGTTCTTTGCACTGTATAATCCCCAATACAAAATTCAGATATAGTTTTCAAAGAGAGAGACAGAGCGAGAGTGTGTGTAACAGCAGTTACAACAGTTGATCAACAGTTCTAATAACAACATGAAGGGGAAAATAAAACCTTGATCATGAATAACCTCATATACCGAAATGCTCCAGTGTTTCAATTAAAATTTTCAACAGATCCACAGTGGTTCAGATAACAAGATAACATAACCAGAAGCTGACTACTTGTGTCTTGTAGTATTATAAATCGTCTTGCATAGACTGTATGGAAAGTTATTGAAATGGAACACTCAATGCCGCCATGTACAAGTATCACCTATGTGATCATTTGGCATCCTCTGGATTTAACAGACTCTAAAACAATCATTCCAAGTTAAAGGGTTAAGAAACTCTACATCTTGCCCACAAAGTGTACTTATGAGTTTTGATTCCCCCAATTTACAACAACAGTTTCCCTGAACAGCATTAACAAGTTTAGCATTGTAACAGAGAAACAGTATGCTATCAGTGAGGTAGGAATGTATTTTTAATTTAATTTAGATAACTGTCAACTCTATCACTGCCAGTCCAAAGCTTAGTTTAGAGGAGGAGGGGGAGGAGAACACCTTACTGAAAACATTGCAAACTCAACTGACTTGGCTGTCAGCACTCATAAGGTCCCTTGCCCAGGCTTATGGGTGAAGTCTCCAACAGTTACTGACGCATGAATTAGTGTGCAACATGTGCAATACTGTATGGTGGTAAGATAAAGCGACCCCTTCTCTGGGGTTAAAAATATGGAGGCTGGGTCAGAAACCTAGAGGTGGCAGCCCCGATCACTAACCTACCCAGAGGTGCACTGGTCCTGCACAATGGGGAACTTATTTTGACCAAACTGCTTCAAAGGTTTACTAATGCACTTCCTGATAGCCATGACAAAATACCAACTCATCAAACATCAGTGTAATGAAGGTACAGTGAAACTTCATTATAACAACAAAAATTATTAGAACCATCACTTTCATAACATGACACATACAGCAAACCATCACACAAAGTGAGGTCGTTTTCCTGCACCTTCATCATAGTCAGCAACTTATAACTAAGTCACCATCATTTTCCTGTAAATTTTTGCATTTAAACTTCTGAAGTTATTTATGGCTAGTACTGTCAAGTTCCTGTTAACCAAACTTTTGCATTTAAGAACCCCATAGCAGCTTATCCCCACCAAGTTTCAACCACTGAGAAATGCACCTTGTGATGACCATGAATTTCATCAGTCCAATACCTTGTTTCATTGTGTATTGCGTTCTTCAGCTTGTTTATAGATGGGTCATGCTGTATCTTCCCCTTCCTGTCATATAGGTTTCCCCTTACCCTGATCTCCCAGTGACTTTGGATGACGAATTCGTAGGATACTTCTTGTCCCTCATCAAAGGCGTTTTGATTTCTGATGACACCTGTAATGACTTCCTTGTTTCCAAAACATTTCACACTAACACAACTGCAAAATGTAATGACTTCAAATGTCACATGTAAACTTATCATAATACTTCTGCCTTTTGGGCAAAGGAGGGTGTAAGTACATACTGGTGAAATTTCCTTTCTGACATTTGTGACTGTGTGATGAGCATAATGAGATGAAAGTGGCACTACTAGTATAACATCGTAAGTACAGGAACTATGATGTTACTTATCTGATCCTTGTATGAGGGTAAGTCAATAAGTAGGTTACAAATGGATATAGAAGTTAAACAAATAAGAGTACTGACTTGAAAAATGCTTTTATTTCTCAACATAATCTCCCTGTACACTGAGGCACTTGTCCCATCATTTCACAAGCCTCTGAAAACCAGCAGCATAAAATTCTTTTGGCTGCTGTCGGAACCAGTCAGTGACTTCCCTTTATACAGCTTCATTGTCAGGAGAAAGTTCAACCAAAAGATGATGTTTAAGAGGGCCGAACAAATGGAAGTCACTTGGAGCAAGGTCGGAGCTACACGGAGGATGCTCGAGGACTTTCCACTAGAAATTTTGCAGCGTCTCATTTATCTTGTTGGCAGCATGGGGACGCGCGTTGTCATGCAAGAGCAACACGCCTTTGGTGAGGAGTCCTGGTCGCTTCCGTTGAATGGCCTTACGAAGTTTCCTGAGGATGTTACAGTAGGAGTCAGCATTTACGGTTTGTCCTCAAGGCTGGAATGTGGTGAGCAGTATGCCTTCATGATCCCACAAGACTGTGAGCATCACTTTCCTGGAGGATGGTGTCACATTTGGCAGGTGACGCAGGATGTTTCCACTGCATTGACGCACTCTTTGTCTCGGGCTGGTAATGGTGAACCCAAGACTCATCACCTGTAACAATTCGGGCTAGCATATCCTGTCCTTCATTGTGGTAGCGACTGAGATGCTGTAATGCCAGACCCATCCTTTCCACTTTGTCTTGTGGGATGAGCATGCACGGCACCCATCGTGCACAGACTTTGTAAAAACCTAACCTGTCATGCATTATGAGGTAGGCCATACCATGTGAACAACCAACAGCATAGTGTCTATAGTGTCTATAATTACCCTTCTGTCTGCTCGGATTAAGTCTTCAACCCGTTGCACATTCGCCTCTGTGGCAATCTCCGTTGGCCAGCCAAAACAGTGTTCGTCTTCGATACGTGTCTGCCCTTCAGAAAACTTCTGCACCCAATTGTAAACAGCTTGGCATGACAGGCACTTCTCACCATAGATGGGAAGCATTTCTTTATGAATATTCTTCGATTCCATACCTTTTGCCCACAAAAATCACCCAACTGAGCATTGCTCAAGGATTGTACACTCACTCAGAGGCACCGCCATCTTGCAACTACTGTTTTGCTTTTGTAAACATCAACTGTCTCGTGTCGAATGTGATCAATTGCCACCAGACTACTACTGCCATCTAGTGGCGATAGCCTCAAGTACCTCATTGAAACATGTAGTACCCCACATCAATTTGTAACTTACTTATTGACTTACCTACATATGTTATATTTTAGCATCCTGTTGCACTGATTTAAGTCCATGATTTATTTTATCCGTCTTCTAGTGCATACATTCACACACATACATACACATACACACATACACACACATACCCAGCAGGTCCAGCAGTATAACACACGCAGTCACAGGAGCGAGACGCAACATAGAGCACAATACACGATAGTGAAAGAGTGCTCCAACAGACGATGATAGACGTGACTCGCGTAATGAAACACGACGTAAGAATGAAATATGCTGTATAATTTTAATATTTTAACACTTAACATTTATCAGTATATATGATAAATATATATTTTAGTTATTTTAGTATGTATAGACAAGGCATGCAATGAACTAGTTTGTCGTGGATTGGATCAGCACCTGAAGATGGCACATTTGTGCCGAAACATGTAGTGAGAGTGAGAAGAGGGGATAGATGAATGTATGCACTAGAAGACGGATAAAATTAATCATGGACTTACCTACATATATTAGTGTGTGTGGTAACTTACTTAAGTTAGAAAATTAAACAGGTATGGGTTCATGTATAATTCATATGCCTTTACCATAATATGCATTCTACAGTTAAGCCGTTAGTTCTAATGGCTGCCTCACAACCATCTTCTACATACAAAATGTCAAGAAGTTGCATGCATTCCAGCTGTGGCACTAAAAATAATTCATAACATAATGCATGTACATAAAGTATTAGTGAGATTTAAACTGCACTGTGTTGGCCTGTTACACCAGTTTGATACGAATCCATGTGTTTATTCTCACGACCATTTCTTATGTACATAACGTCAAAGGTTAACATGCATTCAAGTAGTGGCATTTACAGCAGCCCATAACATGTACATCAACTATTAGCTAGATTTAAACTGCATCCTGTATCAGTCTGTTATGCCAGTTTGAGTCAGCTACTTTATTCTCACATGTATGCACTTGAAGCAACATGTGAGTGAGCAGCAAAGGCTTTTTGCACGTACAGCAAGGCATCCAATTGGGAGTTGGCTGTGAGTAAAAAAAGTTATTTAAGTTTAAGAAAATCAGTTTGGATAGTTCTAAGAATAATGAAAATGCTTAAATATTCTTTATTCTTTCATATAAACCATGATAACCACTCCAAGGAACAAGAAATACTGCCTCACCTAGATTATTAACACTACAATATTGTCACATATCCAGGTAATGTGACAAGTAATTAATGGATTCCAGATTGGATGAGTCGATTTATTAGATATTCACCAGGCAGAGCTACAGTTAGATGTAACACAGTCTTACTGTAACTATAACACCTTGCAACCATGAACAATAACACCACATAAACTCAAGACTTCACTTCTGACTATGACCTCGTCTTCTTCTGTGTTCTTAGGTAGGTTCTGGTCGAAACATATGGAGATCACCTCCTTTAACAGTAGAGTTACAGCGCTCTTCATTGTTACTGTTCTTCAGAGGTTTGTTGCCATATGAATGGAAATGTTTCTGCACGCATTGCCTAGGAATTAACGTGACTCTGCATGCAATGCATAGTCTCTCCAGTCATAGTCATTGCTGTGGAAACGTATTCCAACGATTCGCCGTCCAGCAGTGGCACCCATGTTTTCACAGGAATATGCTTAACAAAGCCCTGCCCTCTAGATAGGCAGATTGCAGCTTTCAGGAGTCATGTCACAATATTGTACTGCATGTAATTGCACATTTGGGGGCCGACTTCTCCTTACATATTTCAGCCATTTTTGGATATTACAAGCATTTGTTTGAACAAGCTGTTCTTTTTATTTTATAAACTTTTGTAATATCAAAGTTTCACTGTGTGACAGACAAACTATAAATCACTGTCATAAATTCAAGAATTCAAGGTTATCGAATAAAGTGGCCACAATGCCTAGGAAGAATTGAGCAAAAACATAATTCCTAAACTACTCTCAGACTACAAACCAAGAGGCAAAAGACATTAAGGATGACCAACTGAAAGATGGAGAACAATTCTGAATTTAATAGTTATATTTTTTCACGCTGAAGACAGAACAGACCTTCAGAAGAGCCTAGACCATGCTTAGATGATAAAAAAATACTTACAAAATAATGAGCTGGGGTCATAACAAAATAAAACTCTGGCCTGCCAAGTGCCATAACTCCATGCTGAAAAACATGGCTCTGAATTATGTACTTGATGAATGACAGGGAAGGTAACACACCAACAATTTTCATTACAGGATCTGCAATGAATGCACAAATAAAAGCAATTAAAGCATTATAAATATCAATAGGAGCAATAAAATGTTATCAAAATGTGCATACTGTGAAACAGTTTCACATTGTTTAGATGCATTTATGCTACAGACTGGATCACTGACAAAATGTCAACTACCAATACATTAATTCTGACAAGTACCACAACTTGAACCCTTGAAAGCAATACTGCAGTAACCAATCGGTGGCACTACGCTGGTAAGCACATATCTCATGAGACCTTCCTACTAGTTGTGCAATCAGCTGGCTGCTCCTATTGGGAGGCAAATTATTATACTAATATTATATTGTTGCCTGTGGTTCTGTATGGGTGTGAAACTTGGTGTCTGACATTAAGGGAGGAACATAGACTGAGGGTAGACTTGAAAGGATTCTGACGATGGTGTATACACTACTTCTTTTGGTTTATTTTGGACTTCACCCATCGTCTGGTATGCGAAAGACAAAAAACCACGACGTTTCGGAGACTGGATCTGTCTCCGTCTTCAGGTGGATAGGGAAGGATAAACCTACTCAGTTGGGCCCCTTAGAAAGAGCTAGTCTCAATCACTGGATTAACCCCTGTATGTAGAAAAACAACCTATGAACAACCGACAACCGGTTCCATCAGTGGGAGAAAAGGATTTTATCCAGTGATTGAGACTAGCTCTTTCTAAGGGGCCCAACTGAGTAGGTTTATCCTTCCCTATCCACCTGAAGACGGAGACAGATCCAGTCTCCGAAACGTCGTGGTTTTTTGTCTTTCGCATACCAGACGATGGGTGAAGTCCAAAATAAACCAAAAGAAATAGACTGAGGGTGCTTGAGAACAGGGTGTTGAGGAGAATATTTGAACCAAAGAGAGATGAAGTGACAGGAGGTTCGAGAAAACTGCATAATTAGGAGCTTCATAACTTGTACTCTTCTCCAAGTATAATTAGAATGATCAAGTCAAGGAGGATGAGGTGGGCAAGGCATGTAGCATGAATGAGGGAGACAACAAATGCATACAGGATATTGGTAGGAAAGCCAGAAGGAAGGAGACCACTGGGAAGACCAAGGAGTAAGTGGGTGGACAATATTAAAATGGATCTTAGAGACAGGATGGGATGGTATTGATTGGATTGATCTGGTTCAGGATAGGGACCAGTGGAGGGTTCTTGTGAACATAGTAAGGAACCTTCGGGTTCCATAAAATGCTGGGAAATTCTTGAGTAACTGCAGAATTGGTGGCTCCTCCAGAAGGGCTCAGCTCCATGAGAAAGTAAATATTATATTGTAGCATTCTGCTGCACTTCATTTAGTATCGGATGGTTTCATAGTCTCACGTGCAGCACATCTTTGTATAAATCTTACTAAAAGTTATACTTATTTTAAACTTGTTAAAAGTTAAAATCTGTATGTGTAAAACTTTTAGTAAGATGTGCTTCACATGAGACTGTGGAACTATTTGATACTAAATAATTATACATTTGAGGGCCTCAGTTAATTCAATTTTATTAATAGTATACACACAAATATTTTTGCATATAAGGAAACTGTTACATGTCCATTATCTATGCCTTTTTTTCAAGCACTGTCTACATTTTATATGAGTCAATGAATGGAAAGTATTCAATTTCTTCTTTCTTTCCACAATCTTTCCTTTTTGATTTCTTGCCAGCTCTTTCCGTCCTTCTTGATGTCTTCTAGTACCTCACTGAACAATCTTGTTCTGGGTTATCTAATATATATTTCTCCTTTAAATTTTAATTCTAATTCTCCCCTCAGCATCCTTGTTCTGTTTTTTTTTAATGGCCAAACCACCGTACAAGTAATTGCTTCTCTTCTAACACTATTAAATTCGGAACACCAATTTCATCTCTAAAAATGCCATTTTTAATTCTTCCCCTTCTTCTTCATCCCTCACTAAGTCTAAAAAATTTCATATCCATTGCAGAAATTTTGCTTCAGTTTCTCTTGGTAAGGGTCCATGCTTTGGAACTTTAATTAGTATAGATTTAAGACATATTTATAAATTGTAGTCATGATTTTTTTGGGATCTCTCTGTTCCATAACACTCATCATTATTATATAGAATTCCAATTATTTTGTATTCTTCTATTGATCTTTCCATTGATTTACCTTTCTGGGTTTATTTTGCTTCACAAATAAACATATTTGCCCACCATTTTAATCAAGGCATCATCAACTTTTATTATGATAATTGTGCCTAGGTTCCCTGAAAATCTCATAGCTACAATCTTGTACATATTCATTTTATGTCCACAGTCCCATACAGCCAGCCACTTCTCAGTTTATGCAGTTATGTTTTTGAAAATGGGAAGGCAAATCCAACAGTTTTCCCATAAGAAATAAAGGGAAATGTAGCTGTTAGAGAAAACACTGTCTCAGTACTCATTTGAACAACTTTTCCTTCATTGTTTTCCATTTTAAACTGTGCTTGTAGCATTTTTCTCATACGTTACCAATAACAATAAATACATCAAAAAGCCTACCTCAAATAATAAAATTCTTCTGCTGGTGGTAATGGAGCAGTGGGGGTTACTAGCAAAGGGGTCAATCTGGGTCCGATGACCCAGTGGGTGATGACAATGAGAAGCAAGAGGTGAAGATGCCTCCTCAATTAATGGCATCTCTTTGGCTTTCCACGTGTCTCAGCTAATGGATTAAGGTTCAAGTGGTGTAATGCTTTCTTTTACCTTTCAAATCACACAATTCTGAAGAAAAGGTGAAACTCAAAAAATGTTCTTCATATGTCAACCACATAATTAAAAAAAATGTGTAAATAAAATTGGACACATGTTTATATGAACTGTTTTGATCACAAAGACCTAGGAAATCATCTCCTGCAGTTATGCCCTAAAGTCGTGAAACATCCTGTATATAGACACATATGAGCAAGGCACAGACACATAATATCTTACATAAATAATCTTGCATAATATTGCATCACATTACCCACCATCCTTCCACTCTGATTTGGGTACTCCACGAAAGAGGCTGCGGACCCGTGAACCACCATCCTGATTATCTTGGAAAGCCAGTTTTGGCAATGTAAACAAGTCCTTATTTACAATTTCAATTTTTTCTGTGAATTCAGTTTTCAAATCCTGTAATAAAAGAACACATTCGAGTATATAAGCAATTACAAGAGTTTTGTTTCTGGGTTAGAGAATTCCAAAATCCTCTTAAACCTTTCAAAAGACAGCATTTAAACCTTTGGCATACTACCTGATGGCCTGGATTCCTAGATACCTTTAAATATCAGAAATGCAGTGTTTCAGAAAATATGTTTATTTATTGCATTATTATTAAAAATTAATTTATCTGCAGTCACAGTTTTGAAACAGTCAGTCATACACACATTTAGGTTACAACTCTTTCATAATATTATTCATTATTTCTCTTCAATGTGATTTTATACTTAACTCTGAAAAGAACCACATACTATTGATGATAACTGAAAGTTGTGACAAATAACATGCATATTTATGCACACTTTTTCAAATGTAACACAACACACGACCCCCAAACGACCCTTGACTGACTACTGAACAGCTGCCTTCAGCTTCTTATGGCAGAACAGTGAGATGACAAATTTCTTCACATTTTGCAGTTTTTCCACTTTTCAAACAATGACACTGATCATGCAGATTGGTTTGTGGGAACATCCCACATTATCACGCATTTCTGCAGCGCTCGCTCTTCACATCGCTTTTCGCCATCACGCGCGCTAACCAACCACATTGCTTCAAACGTTCATATTTATACTGGGATCGCTCCTGGCCCGCATCTACGTCATAACGCGCGCTGGCCAATCAATTCTTCCTCCTCACTTTCGAGTTTGGCTCCGCCCCACCGACCGGCGTATAAAAGGGAGCGACTCCAGAACCGAGTTATGCAGTTCCATTCAGTTCAAATCATTTCATCGTCAGCCTACGAGCTAGCCGCATCAAGCAACTTCAGCCAGCAGGCTTCGTCGCCAGCGCTCGGTCCTCGGAGGCATCGGCAGGCTGCGCCGGGCACGGCTGCCTCGGCCCTCCAGCGCTCTCACACCCGACTCACTGGGGCACAGCGCCTGGACTCGCCGGTGGTCGTGTTACGGTCCGACCCACTGGGCCTTTGGCGTAGCCACTGCCTCATGGCTCCTACAACCGCGCTCGACTAGCCTTTCACCACCGGCAGCAACCTCCAACTCACGCTGCCGCACGGCAACCAAGCAACCTCCAGCCACGGCCTAGCCTTTCCACTAGCCTTTCACCGCAGCAAGCCTTTCTCCTTACCGGCGCGCGCCGCGCTACCTCACCGGTCAATCATCTCAGCAACCACGGTCCTTTTCAGGGCCAACAAATTGTTCCGAAGAAGTGGGTTGTCATAGGAGTAATGACAAAGACTACACACTCACGTTAAAGAGTGCCCCACAGGTTCTTGCCAGAACTTCTTGTTCACCATGCAAACTCCTGCACTAAAAGCACTACATATCAATAGGTCCCAAAGCAAAGTCACTTCACACTTTATGAGAAACATTTAGTAATGTAACTTTGTGTGATACAAGATCTGAGGTTCCCACAGTGGTAGGTATAACGAGCTGCACACTTGCTGCCTATTTCATGCTGGTTTCTTGCTTAGCTTCAATCCTAACGATGACAGTGGCATGTTCCTCTGAGACAGATGTTGACTTTCAATGGTGTTATATCCCAGAAGACAGAACTCTTGTGTGATATAGTTTGAAAAATGAATAAACAAAGAAACCCATGTCACAATCTTCACAGCAGTAAACTGATCTAGAGATTTTACCCTTATCATAACACAAGACATTTTCATGACTGACCCTTGGCAGGCCAGTGGTGTGAATGTTTGAAATCAAGTCAATTCATGATATGCTTGTTATTATGACCAGCCACAACTTGGTGCTGAAGGACTTGGGTTGATATCCTGTGGGGCATGAATCAGACCTCCAACAAGCTGTTCCTGAAACACTTTACAGCCAAATTTGACTTTGCTTGAGATATAATTATAAAGATCTTCAGGGCAGTTAATATAAGTGGAAAAAGACATTATTCAACCATTTATGTTTTCTGGGATATACTGTAGCTAACTATTATCATACAATTCACACTCACAAAATGCATGTTCTTATTATAACTTTCATTACAGAATTCTAATGCATTTCCTTTTTCATCCACACATGNTTTTTTTTTTTGGGGGGGGGGGGGTTGTTAAAAGGTATTAGTAACTCCTCTACCATGGACAACACATCACACATTACTCAGATGCTTAACCCTTAGGCGAAGAACTGCATTTAAAGTGAACCTTACTGGGTGGACGGAGGATATTTAAATTTTCTTACCAGAAATGCACAACTTTTATAAATTCACTGTAAAAGCAAAGAAAATTGGAATTTCAAAGCGATAAATTATCGTCATATTCAGAAAAGAAAGTAGTTTTAGATTTTATAAACAGCACGGCGATATTTCAACGTTTTTGTCCGAAGATCAGTTATTTTTTTAAAAACGGCGTAAAAATTTAGAAATACAGAATTTAAAACCGGAAAAGAACACTGTGCTCTGTATAGAACATAACTTCAATCAAAATAATCAAAATCAATCTCAATCAAAGGCTTTATTTAGGTCACAAAAAATGCCTCCAACTGGTATTTTATTATTCAAGGCCTTTAACATTTCACTAATTAAATTATATGAAGCGAGTTCTGTGGATGAATCACATCTGAAACCATATTGATGATTGGATAATATATTGTTATCCTTTATGTGCTGGAGCAATCTTACAAATATAACCTTTTCAATAACTTTTGAAAAGGATGTAAGTAACGATATAGGTCTATAATTCAACATATTCGTTTTATCACCATTTATACATAATGGTATTATTTCAGAGTATTTCAAACGATTGGGGAAAACACCCGTTGAAAGTATTCTGTTACAGATATAAGTTAAAGGAGAAATAACAGCAGGTGCGCTAGTTTTTAGAATACTGACCGAAATTTCGTCATACCCTTTAGAATTTTGGGGTTTTAATGACTTAATTATGTTTTCAATTTCTTTAGCAGATGTAGGTTTAAGTTTAATTTCAGGGAAAGGAGTCGGAAAAGCCTGAGATATATAACTCCAATGTTTATCAATATCAAACTCTATAAAATGATCACTCTTAGCATTATTGCTGTTAATTTTATCTACTATAGTCAGAAAGTAGTTATTTAAAGAATCAGCAATTAATTGCTGACTATCAGTTAGCTTTCCTTCAACATTGTAGACGTATTTGGTCCAATCCTTGTGGGAAATGTAATAATACTTTTCAAATTGTAAGAACTTAAAATATCTTCTAGTTTAACTTTCCTAAGGCAATTTTCCATATAATTCACATTTATGTCACCACAAATTATGACTTTTGCCTTCTTTTTGTACAATTTATGTAAGATTGATTCTAATTTTCCCAAAAATATTTCATAATTACTGTAGGGCAATCTATATACAGTTAAAATATATATTTTAAAACTATTAGTATTTACAAAAACAGCACAGGCCTCAATATTCTTATCACTACAATAGTTATCAATATTAACAGTTTCAGTTTTTAAACTATTATGCACATATATACATAATCCACCTTTCTTAAAGTGCTTTCTGCTGTAATATGCTCCAAGGGTATAACTGTCCAGACTGAGGTGAACTATCTCATCACTTTCAAGATGGTGCTCCGTGAAACAGAGTACATGCGGTGTTTGCTCTTTCAAGTGACATAATATCTCAGTGCATTTGTTTCTTAAACCCCGCATATTTTGGTGGAAAATTTTTATGACATTATTTTTATTGGACTCTCCTTTATATTTAATTAGATTAAGACTTACATTAGATTTAGACTTATTATTATTATTATTATTATTATTAGAGCATATTTTAGTCCTACTATCTAAGGAATCTGAGTAGGCATTTAAATGTTCCATAAAAAATAATTATTTCTAGTTATTGGTAATTTCCTATTGCGATTAACACTGCGCTGAGTTGAAGTCAGTGTCGAAGAGGACTTGCCAATTCATGGAACGACCAATTGAGTTTACCTTATCGTACCATTCCAGGATTACAGGCTTAACCTTAACTCTTTCCAACAATAAAAATATCTGGGAGACTAACTGATTAGAAAATATTTCCTTGCCTATTGTATTTAAATGTGAGCCGTATTTGGTGTATAACAATCTATTGTTGATTGGTTCACTCATAAATACATGACTAAAGATTTTGGTCAATTTACTCAACTTATTGTTAAAGAGATTGATTGTGTCATTTAACTGTGAGCTGTGAACTAAAACAAACTAACATCAATGTCATAAATGACAAACTAAAATATTGCACTGAAACATGATTAAAGTTACACTATATGAAGCTCCTAGACATCAGGTTTGCATAAGAAATTCAAAGCTACAGTCAGAACAAATAACACATGCATATATTCTGTATAAAGTGGATCTGGTCTGATGCACCAAAATGGAGGACTCCTGATCATGTTGCATGTGTAAAGTTCAGTTTCCTTTGTTCACTGTTTTGATAGTTACACAATGCAATAAAAACAAAGATTCTAGATAGCAGGGTCTTGTGAACACCAGTAATGAACCTTCAGGTCTCATAAAAAGCAGTGAATGTCTTGACTACTATGGTAACTATTAAGTTTTTAAGCATTCTGGTCTATAAGTTACTTATATTTTTACCTTCAATTGTTGAGAAAATGCTAATGAAGATTCAGAGAGCCACAGTCTTTGAACACCTGCAGCAAGCAGTTCCCTAGATATAAATCCAAGGCCTGGATTTACTTCAAACACTGGAGCTCCTCCCTTCACAACATCCAGTGCAATCACATCAACTAGTTTTTCTGAAATGAAATACACTAGAAGTTATAACATCCTGTCTGAGTAAGAACAAACTGGAATTTTTATTAGCTCATTTCATACATCATAGGAAAACTTAGGGCTGCAGTATCACAAAGTATATTATTTACAAACACATGTACTGACTTTTGAACAATACTTAAAATTCAGAGATATGTACAGATGGTCATAATATTATAAAATTGTTCTGCAAAATGTTTAATGTAAAGAAAATTAAGTAATTCAAATTAAACCGAAACAAACGTAATATAGATCACAGATGTTCTTCATTCTATGCTAGTATCACGGGTTAACAATGAAACATGAGCAGCTGTCCTGATGTAGGACGTAGGAGAGGGGATAAGAGAGCAGCAAACAGCTCATAACCACATCTTAAACTCAAGTCTGGGGGGTGATCTATTAGCAGGTATGGTATTAGTGCATCACAATATTATAATGGAAGTGGTACTCTTAAGTCTTAAAGAGTTGTAGCTGGATTGTTAACAATTATAGGCATCTGTGCTGTGATGTAATTTGTTCAGATATGAGGTCACATCCTGAAAGTTCATCTTAACTGCTGTGAAAACTTCAAATTTCATGAAGCACAGACAGTTGACACCCTTGATGGTGACTCCAAATACAACCAGTGTCTAAGAACTGGTATAACTCTAGAGAAATCTCACATAACACCCTGTAAAACAGCAGAATAAACCTGAGATATTTGGAACCCCTAACCCTTTAGTAACATTTGCACCTACACTTACTGGCAACATCTCGATCTACAGTATACAGAGCATCTGGATTACTTCTTTTGCGTTTCAGAAGCTTCTGGGGTAAACAATACAAAACGGACTTGAGATAATCTTTAGAATTCAAGTACTCCAGAACATCTTTCGAAAACTTCTCCTTAGAACCCTCTAATTTATGATTCACACTTGATGTACTTTTCTTCGTGCCAGAATACGCATCTCTTGCGACTGCAGTCTGCCTAATATCAGTCTGTATACCCACTTTAGTAGCGGAAGTCCTGTTTGGTACAATCGCCTCATGCATTACAGAACTGATTCTAATGTTAACACTTAAGGGTACTTCTAAATATTGAAATAAAACTTTCGTTACGCAATAAGTGTTACGCATGCTGGACGAAACTTTTCTAAATATTTTTATACACATTCCTTTAAAATGATTACGATACTGAAAAAATAAGTACGTGTCTTCCACGTTTCACACTGTTCAAATTCAGAACTCACAACTGTATTCAATTATTACTCGTCACACAAACTTCCGCTGTTCACGTGGTTTTCTCTGTCATCCTCGTTTACTAATAATGAGCATTGCTTACTGACAAGAAGTGCTTTTCGATAAGTCAAAAATGTCTATGTTGTAAATCTTCGCTGCTGATAGAATGCGCGTATATCATAAATTTCTTCCATGATACTTGTGGTTTTGTCTCTATTGTTTTTATTCTATTGGTATGCTCTTATATAACTCTGTTTTATCGTTTTAATGTTTCACGTTTCAGCTCGTGCTTTAAAAAATTGAGTTCGTAATATTGTTCCCAAATACATCAACTCCATCACAGTGACGATCTTGTGCACTATCATTAAGAACGCGATACGGTTATGCCTCTGTGAAGGTCCAACCGGAAGAGGTAGAAGGCAGTGGGGACATAAATAGTGGGATTTCAAAGTTTGAGTAGTGTAGCACTTAATTTTAAAACGTTTATTTTTTCTTTCGAGAATTAACGAGTGTCATTATTATTTGTGCGATATTTATATTGTTGGTAGTATTTTTGTGTGTTAATATGAACACAAATGTGTTGAAAAAAGACACGAGAGAAGGTAAGATTTGAGGCTTTCACGGCGGTGATTACGAAGAAAGCAGTCTTCTGGGATTTGGCACCGTGTATATGTGGTGTTAACCGACGTTTCGGAGGAACCTATCGCCTCCATCTTCAGGGTAGAAGGAAAATATAAGAAATCCGCAAGCGAAGAGACCGTGAGAACCTGTAAAAGCCCTGGACCAGTGATTGAGGCTAGCTCTTTCTAACGGGCCCAACTGAGTAGGTTTATCCTTCCCTACCCACCTGAATACGTGGACAGATCCAGTCTCCGAAACGTCGTGGTCTTTTGTCTTTTACATACCAAACATACATACATAGATACATAATTTCACAGATCCATTGTCTGGAAACCGGACAGGATATTGAATTCGTCAGCAAAATGACATTGCAAAATGCAATCTAGTCCCAACAGTTAAAATATTCAAGAATTATAAAATGAAAAATACAATAATAAATAAAAGGCAGTTATATAACAAATCTAGATAATACATAATCTTGGAAAGACAACAATAATGTATTATGCTTGCCTGTATGCCATGTATTCATCTACCGAATAAAATGCATTTAAAATAAGATACTCTTTTAGCCTTTGTTTCAAAGTATTAATATTGTCTTTCAAGGAATATATATTGTACGGCAAGTTATTAAATATTCTAATGGATGAAAAATGCACACTCTTTTGAATGGAAGATAATCTCACAAAGGAAACATGTAGTTTATTTTGCCACCTAGTACTTAATTTGTGTATGCCATTATTCACCTGATACATATCAGGATTTTTGAGTACAAACAAGACTATGGAATATATATAGAAACAGGGGACAGTGAGAATGCCCGTTGTCTTAAAGCCTTCCCTACATGAACTCCTTGGCCCTAATCTTAACAAAACTCTTAATGCTCTTTTTTGTACAGTAAATATACTTTTCATTGATGAAGAAGAGCCCCAAAAAATGA